ATTTCGCAACGTCCCATTTTATTTGGGGTTGGGGGGGGGGTTGGGGGGGGATCGTTGGCCAAGAGAGAGAGAGAGAGAGAGAGAAACTCCCTTCTCTTTTCCAACGGCATCGCAGCGATGATAATGACGACGACGGCCCTGGCATTCGACACAGCGCCTGATCACGTCTTCGAGAAGCCTCAAAGCGCTTCGCAGGATAGCCGTGAAGTGGAGTGACTGTGTGCTCCGCGGGCGAAAGGCGGCAGCCGATTGCGCACGGCGGCGTCCCCCCCCCCCCCCCCCACCACCACCCCGCAAACAGCCGTGGATTGAGCGACCGAATTACTATTATTACTATTATTTTTTTTCTTCTTCGAAGGGATTACTGCCCCTCGGAAAGCGATCGGCCAATCGCCTGACAACCGGGTTCCTACTTACTGTTGGGTTCAGAGGCGCGCGTGACGCGCGTGTGTGTGTGTGTGTGTGTGTGTGCGTGTGTGCGTGGGGGTTGGGTGGGTTGGGGGGGGGTTTCGCCCTGTCCTGCCCGGGAATCGAACCCGGGGTCCTCTCGCTTGCGAGGCGAGCGCACTAACGCTGTTAGCATCCACCTGGAATATACAGTATATATATATATATCGAATGGCAGACACCCATGGGAAGAGGTGGGGGGGTTCAGGGAGGTGGGTGCGGAGGGGGGGTGTAGGGGTGGGGGGGGTCGTAGGAAGGAGAAGGAGGGGAGCAATTTGCTGTAAACTACCTTTCAATAAAGTCAGACACTGACAGTATCGGAGCTGTATATAAACTAATGAGTCCAGTCAGACTGACTCGCCAACAACTAGACAATCTGCTTCTTGTTTCTCTTCTGCAAGTAGTAATCTTTCTCAAATACAATATAGTACATGACATATCCTCTGTACAATATATACACGGGGTCCGCGGTGCGCTTTTTAGATTAAAAAAAAAAACTCGCACCGAACAGGAGAGGTGACGCGGAGAGTTGGGGGACTTGTCGTTGTTCGGTTAAAAAGGTATTGCCTGCGTGCGTTCGTCTTTTTTTTTTTTTCTTTTACCCCCCCACCCCGCCCCGCCCCGCCCCGCGCGCCCCACGTCTCACTCCCTCCCTCCTCTCCCCGTTACCGGAAGGAGGAAACCGAGATAGAGAGAGAGAGAGAGACAGACACACGTTAGAAACGCTTTTAAAAGAATCTTGGGGGAGGGGGAGGGCGAGATTAAATTATATTCAGTCGTGTGTGTGTGTGCGTGTGGGGGGCGGGGGGTGGGGGGGGTGGGTTTGCGGGGAGCGGAGGTGTAAGTGGGGTCCTTTTCTTTTTTTTTTGCTTTCCCTTCGTTTCTTTCGATTTAGTGATCGGTTCGTTCTCGTCTCTACCGAAGAAAAAAAGAATGAATCCGAAGGGGGAGTAGCTCTGCCGCCGAGGGTCCGGAAGGACGGGAGGGGTGGGGAGAAGTGCGTCGGGTGGGGCGGGGGGAGGGATGGGCTGGGGTTTAAAGGGGGGGGGAGCGTGGGGGGGGGGTCTGGCTCGAGTGGATGCGAGGAATATCGAGGGTACGAGCAGTGTGTGACAGTAGATTTAAACCCCCCCCCCCCCGCCACCCACCGCCCACCGCCCACCCCTCATCACTCTCCCATCTCACACTGGTGAATTGGCCAACAAGGAAGGCTCGAATAACTCAAGGGGTGGGGGGGGTAAGGGGGGTGGGGGGAAACAAGGGGGGGGGGGAGTGGAGAAACGGAGGGGGGGGGCACGGAGCTGGTAGTCTGGATTCTCTGTCCCAAACTGGCTGTCAGTTGAACCGTCAAGACATCTCCCAACTCGCCTTACGCCGCTCCACCCCCAAACACCCCCAAACACCCCCCCCCCCTCCGCCCCCGCCTCAGTTTTGCGCGCGTACGTTCGAGGTGCTCGCGTCTGTGCGGGTTGTGTACACCGAGTGGCGGGCGCACGGGCTGGCGTGTCGCGCACGAGCGAGCGAGCGCGCGCGCCCGTTCGGTTAGTGTGCTTTAGCCTGCTTTGGCCGCGCGTGTGTTAAGCGTGAGCTCACGCGTGTCTGCGTGCGTGTTACGTACAGTATTAGTGTGGGCGTGCGTGCGTGCGCACACGTTAAGAGTGCGTCAGTGCGTCTGTGTGTGTGTGCGTGTTACCAGGTGTGTGTGTGTGTGTCCCCCCAGAACATGAGCCTAACCCCCACACACACCCCCACATCTGTTCCCCACAGCAAGGGGGGGGGGGGGGGCAACTTAAACCACATAACATACAAGAACCTCTGTCTCTCTCTCTCTTCCCCCACCACCGCCCACATAGGTAATCACTTTTACCAGTGCTATGTGCGCGTGTGTGTGTGTGAGCGTGCACGCACACACACTCTACACGTGTGGCAGTACCGTGTGTGCGTGGGCACGCGTGTCTGTTCACCTGCACGCATGGCTGTCAATCGCGTGTTTGGGTTGAGATTGAGATGTGTTGTGTGTGTGTGTGTGTGTGCGTTGCGTGTGCGTTCTCTCTCCCGCCCTCCCACCCCACCCCACACGCGCACACATCCCCTGCCAGTCAATGGGAGTGTGTGTGTGTGTGTGTGTGTGTTGGGGGGGGGGGGGGCGGGGAGGGGGGAAGAGTGAGGTTCCGAGAGAGAGAGAGAGAGAGAGAGAGCGCACCTTGTCTCACCCAACCAAGTGTCTGCAACACAAAACAAACCACACACAGCACGGGGTGGGGTGGGGTGGGTGGGGTGGGGGGGGGAGTGGGTGAAGGGTTGAGTTCACAACGTGGGTGAGAGAGAGATAGAGACATGGATAGAGCCCTAATACCTACCGTCCTGGAGGGAGGGAAGGAGGGAGGGAGGGAGGATTTTTTTGGTGGGGGGTGGGAGGGGAGGGGGGGGGGGGTGTGCGTAGGGGGTGGATTGACTTGCGGAGAGGATGATGGGGAGCAAGCGAGTAGAGAAAGCGAGTGGAAGGAGGAGGAGGGACGAGGAGAGAGAGAGAGAGAGAGAGAGAGGTTAGGGTTAGGGTTGAGGAGTGCAGGAGGGAGTGAAGGAGGGAGTAAAGGAGGGAGGGAGGGAGGGAATAGAGAGAGAGAGAGAGAGAGAGAGAGAGCCCCTGGCTGTGTTTGCAGATGTTAGGGTCACGCACACTGTTGCTGAACCTGTGTGAGGAGCTCGCTGAACGACTCGAAGAGCTTTTCCAGCCAGGTCACGTTACGCATACACTGCTGTACAATTTCCTCCTGGCCCAGGTCCTCGTTCGCTGCTGACAGGGCGTCCGTCTGGCGCGCAGAGAGGGAGGGAGGGAGGGAGGGAGGGAAGGTGTTAATAACCATAGTAAAAAATAATATCTAATAATAATCCTTGTGTTCGATGCAGCCCCTTATCACGTCTTCGAGACGTCTCAAAGCGCCTCAAGTGTTGTACACTGTAAAGTGAGTTGACTGTCTATTTTGTGGGGGTTAACGATACGCCGCGATGCAGTCACATCTCCCCATGGCTTCCCCCCACCCTCCCCCCACCACCCCACCCTCCGCGCGCACTAACACGCGCACACATTCGTGCCCCTGCACACGCCTCACCCCCCCGCACGCACTCACAACTCACCCCCCACTACACGCGCGCGCGCGCGCACACACCTACCCCCCTCACACACATCCCTGACCCACCTCCATCCCCCCCCCCACCCCACGCACACCCTCGTACACACGCAAACCTCAAAGAGATTCCCTCCTCCTTCCCTCTCCCCAGGGATAACAGACTGATTATGGGGTTTGGCGAGTTTGGGGTGAGTGAGTGAGTGAGTGAGCGAGTGAGCGAGCGAGCGAGATGGGAGTGAGTGAGATGAGAGTGAGTGAGTGAGTGAGATGGGAGTGAGTGAGATGGGAGTGAGTGAGTGAGATGGGAGTGAGATGGGAGTGAGTGAGATGGGAGTGAGTGAGATGGGAGTGAGTGAGCGAGATGGAGTGAGATGGAGTGGGTGGGTGGGTGTGTGTGTGTGGGTGTGTGGGTGTGGGTGTGTGGGTGGGTGTGTGGGTGTGGGTGTGGGTGTGTAGGTGTGGGTGGGTGTGTGTGTGGGTGTGTGGGTGTGGGGGTGTGGGTGTGTGGGTGTGGGTGGGTGTGTGGGTGGTGTGTGTGTGGGCGGTGTGGGTGTGTGTGGGTGTGTGGGTGGGTGTGTGGGTGGGTGTGTGGGTGGGTGCTGTAGGGAGCGCACGCAGCCGGAGGTGAGACGGGAGTGAAGCCTTCCCTGTTACCTGCTCTTTGCACCTCAGCAGAGTGTGATATTTGTAGTGGTGCAGAGAGTGGAACAACGTGTAGTACTGCGATTTCTCCTCCTCCGCTCGGAAATCCTGTGTGGGGGGGGGGGGGGGGGGGGGGGAGAGCAGATCATCACTGACTGGACCTGTCCGGTCTCACATCCTCCCTCCCCCTCTCCCTGCCTCCCTCCCTCCCCACGCCCGCTCTCTCTCTCTCTCTCTCTCCCCCACACCCTCCCTCCTTCCCTCGCTCGCTCCTTTCCTGCCTCACTCCCCCTCTCTCATTCCAGCACACCCTCGTTCCCCCCTCTCCCGTGGTGGCCAACCTGAGGTGCTTACGGTCTCCTCCCTCCCTCCGTCCCTCCCTCCCTAGCGCTCTGGCAGACTATCCTGCGTGAGGGTGGGTGGGGGGGGGGTTGTGGGTGCTGGGGGGGTGGCAGTGCCTCACCTGTGGCTTGGGGACTGCCTTCCTCAGGTGGTTGAGTGTTTTCCTGTTGTACGGTGTCCCACTGACTTTTAGCTTCACAGAGCTGCTCGGGCTCCCGTTTTCTACACAGAGCTGCGGAGAAGTCTGCAACGCCTCCTGAGAAAAGTCCGAGTGGGGTGGGGTGGGGTGGGTGGGGTGGGATGGGTGGGGGGGGGGGAGAGAAGTGGGGTGGGGGGTGGGGTGGGTGAGGGGTGGAATAGTGATGACAATAACCTTGGCAGGGTACGCTGGCAAAGCGCGTGGCGTAGTGTAACCCCCTTGTGGGCGAAACGCGACAGCCGATGGCGCCCGGCGACCGTCCCCGCGAACAGTCCGCAGACTGGGTGGGTTCGAGACGGGGAGGAGGTGGTGAGGGGGGGGGGGGGTTGGGGGGTTGGGTGGGGGGTGGGGGAGACGGGAGAGGGTGAAGTACCTGGAGCACGGAGCTGAGGGACACCCTCTTTGTCACTTTCTTCTTGTGTTCTGTTAAGATGCCGTCGATTTTCCTCATCGTGGGCAGGTAAAGCTCATCTGTAATGGGGGGTGTGGGGAGTGGGGGGAAAAGAGAGAGTGTGGGGGGGGGGGGGGGGTAGGTTGTCAGGTACGTCAAGAGGCCCAGTGAGCCAATCAGAGATACAGTTTTGCGCCCCCCCCCCCCATCCCACCTCCTAAACTGACACACCCAAGAAACCCCACCCCCCCAACATGTCCCCAACCCCGTCCACTCTGCCCCCAACAGACCCCCCCCCGCCCCACCTCCACCTCCACCCCCACACCTAAAACCACACCTCGCAACCGGCCCCCTCCACATCCCCCCAAACCCCACCTCCTCTGGAATCCCACCTCCTCCCTATCGTCCTCGACGCCCCCCACCCCCCCCCCCCCCACCCCACCCCACCCCACAACCCCATCCCCGCCCCAGACCCACCATTGTTGGCCTCGATGGTCTCGATCATGGCGGGGTCCAGGGCCGCGCTGACCAGCAACTCAATGTAGCTCTTGTACATCTCCTTCATGGCGCGAGTGTTGAGGATTCTGCCCGTGGGAATCCGCTCTGTGTCGGGCAGAGAGAGAGAGAGAGAGAGAGAGAGAGAGAGTCACTAAAGACCAACGGTCCGGTCCCAACAACAACAGCAACTTCGATTTGTACAGTGCCCCTCACACAGGACGGACGCACAGTGTAGAGGGAGCGTTACTGTATCTCTAACCCTGACCCGGGAGTGTGGACGGACGCACAGTGTAGAGGAGCGTTACTGTATCTCTAACCCTGACCCGGGAGTGTGGACGGACGCACAGTGTAGAGGGAGCGTTACTGTATCTCTAACCCTGACCCGGGAGTGTGGACGGACGCACAGTGTAGAGGGAGCGTTACTGTATCTCTAACCCTGACCCGGGAGTGTGGACGGACGCACAGTGTAGAGGGAGCGTTACTGTGTCTCTAACCCTGACCCGGGAGTGTGGACGGACGCACAGCGAGTGAGTGTGTGTGCGTACGTGACAATGAGATGGAGAATGACTCAGTTAGAGTTAGGACTCACCCTCTTCGCTCTGCTGGTTGGGTGTTGAGTCCGAGTCGGAGGAGGAGGGAACCTCTTTGAGCCATTTTTTCCTCTTCTTGGGTGGGGGCTCTGCTCTGGCCTTGGCGGGCCGCTGTTTGGGCTTGGACACGGGCCGGGCCGGGGGCTCAGGCTTCACCACGACTGGCACCCGGTTAGGAGTGGCTTTGGTTTGGCTCTGCCGCCTGTCAGCCCGGCAAACACAGGTTAGCAACGGCGACGCCACCACTCCACTTGCGGAGTTAGTACCTTTCACGTCGGACGGACGTCCCAAGGGTGGTGGGCAAAGGCAGCAAAGGGTACAGCACTACACTCCCAATATACACACACTACACCCACAATACCCTCACACACACACACTACACACACAATACCCTCATACACACACACACTACACACACAATACCCTCATACACACACACACTACACCCACAATACCCTCATATACACACACACACAATACCCTCATACACACACACTACACACACAATACCCTCATACACACACACACTACACCCACAATACCCTCATACACACACACACACACAATACCCTCATACACACACTACACACACAATACCCTCATACTCACACACTACACCCACAATACCCTCATACACACACGCACACACACAATACCCTCATACACACACACACACGCACAATACCCTCATACACACACACACTACACACACAATACCCTCATACTCACACACTACACCCACAATACCCTCATATACACACACACACAATACCCTCATACACACACACACTACACACAATACCCTCATACACACACATACACACACTACACACACAAGACCCTCATACTCACACACTACACCCACAATACCCTCATACACACACACACACAATACCCTCATACACACACACTACACACACAATACCCTCATACACACACACACTACACACACAATACCCTCATACACACACGCACACACACAATACCCTCATACACACACACTACACCCACAATACCCTCATACACACACACACTACACACACAAGACCCTCATACTCACACACTACACACACAATACCCTCATACTCACACACAATACCCTCATGCACACACTCACACTCACACACAAACACTCACAGCCTCACGGGTGTCAACAGAGACACACACACACAAATACTCCCAATACACACTTGCGCTCTCTATACCCTAATACGCACACACTCGCACACGCGCTCTCATACACACACTCGCCCGCTGATACGCTGACGCTCTCTCGGACGCGCGCCTGGGGATGTCGTACCTCATGGATTGCTGTGGCCGGTGCCAGGGCTTTTTGGAGCAGACCCTCACATAGTCCTTCTTGTTGACGTTCTCTAGGAACTTGACGTAGAGACGCTGGTACTCGTTCTTGGCGTGGCCGAAATAGCCGAGGTACTGGGGGGTGGGGAGAGGAGAGGGGGTATGGGGGGGGCGGGCAGGAGGTGTGGTGAGTGGTGTATGGGGGGAACAACCTCACACACCCGTCGAACCCCCTCCATCCCTCCCTCTCCAATCTCCGCACCACCCTCCCTTTGCTTTCCCCCCTCTCCAATCTCCCCTCCCTCACCCTCCGCTCCCCCCACACAATCGCCCCACCCCCTGCCCACGGACTCCCCCCCGCGGTTCCCGTTCCCCTTCACCCCCTCCCCACCCTCCCTACCTCCCCCACCCCGCCCCCCCCCCCCCCCCCTCGCTCGGTCGACTTACTTTGCTGGTTGCGCAGAACTGCCGCTGTCCATCTCTGATCTCGGGGGTGAATTTCTGGAGGAGGGCTTTTTGTACCCGCCACACAGGGGGGGGCTCCCGTCCTGTCTGTACAGCGAGCTGCGGGGAGTGGGGGGGGGGGGGGGGAGACAGGGAGAAGGCATTAACACACTGCAGGCTGTGTTTGGTCACTGATCTCAGCCCCTCTCTGCTCTGATAATAATAATAGTGACAACAACAATAATAATAAAGCATTAAAATGTCCTTTACGCTCCCAAGAGCCCGGGGTGGGTGGGGAGAGGGGGGGTGGGGAGGGGGGGGGGGGGGGTGGGGACCGGGGAAAGCCGTTTAAACCCGGAGCCGTTTACTTTAAGTGCTTTGATGTCGTCGATCTTCACGACGAACTCGTCCCTCTCGCGGAAGACGCCCTCGCCCCCGCTCTCCCCGTCCTCCTCGTCCGTCTCCCCGCAGATGGCCACCGAGTCCTGCTTCTTGGCCAAGTGCAGCGGCCGGTGCCAGGGCTTCTTACAGCAGATCCTCACGTAGTCCTTCTTCTCCACGTTCTCCAGGAACTTGACGTAGAGACGTTGGAACTTGTTCTTCACCTCCTCCCCGTACTCTATGTACTGCAGGAACAACGACAACAACAAATTACACTTGTAGAGCGCCCTTCACCCTCAGGGGCGCTGGACAATCAGGGTTCTTTGGACCTGAGCTGGGAGTTGGGGGCCAGGAGGGGTGGTGGGGGGGGGGTACGGGGTGGCCAAAGGCACGGTCGAAGAGGATGGTCTTCAGATGGGACTTGGAAGGAGGCAAGAGAGTGGGGGGCGAGGCGGAGGGATTGCGGGATGGAGTTCCAGAGCGTGGGGGCAGCGATGCTGAATGCCTGATCGCCAATGGTGGGGGCAGTGGGCGGATGAGGGAGGAACAGGAGGCTGGAACCGGCCCAGCGGAGGCAGGGGGTGGTGGAGTGAGGGTGGTGAGGAGGTCGGATGGGTAGGGAGCCCGACAACAACAACAGCAACAACAAATGACGCTGACACAGCGCGCTTCACCAAGTCGAGAGGACGTCCCGAGGCATTGGGACAGTCAGGGATTTGGACCCGAGTTGAACAGAACAGGGTTGGGATCAGGAGGGCTGGAGGGAGGGTGGGGGGTAGGAGGGTGGGGGGGACATGGAGCAGGTCGGAGCCCGCTGAGCGGAGGGAGTGAACGGGGGGAGAGGAGGAGAGAGAGAGAGATAGAGAGAGAGAGAGAGGGGAAAGGAAGGAAGGAACGGAGGGAGCGGTGGGAAGGAGGGAGATTACCTGGGGGCTGGAGCAAAATTGCCTCTTTCCCTCTCGGACTTCGGGAACAAACTGCTGCAGCGAGGATTTCTGCACCCGCCATATTGGCGGAGGCTCCTCACCAGTCTGCATGGCGAGCTGTGGGAGAGATAGAGAGAGAGAGAGCACAGGGAGAGGGACAGGGAGAGAGAGAGAGAGAGAGAGAGGGGAGTTTTAATAAAACAATCCTTGCATTTGATGTCGTTGAGACGTCTCAAAGCGCCACAGAGAATATACCGTGAAGTCGCTCGACCGCGTGTTTTGTGGGTGAAACACAGCAACCAACTGCGCGCAGACATCTTTAGAGCGTCCGCTTTGTCGCCGAAGGCACTATCGCTTCGCCGGAAAAGCGAACCGAAAGCCAATCGGCCAACAAACGGGTTCCTGCTTACCGCCGGGGAAGGCGGAGCGCCGTGCGCGGGCGCTCGCGGGCGCGCGCGCCGGTACGAGGAGACTTGCCTCGGGATTCGAACCCAGGTCCTCTCGCTTTGCAGAGCGAGAGCGCCGATCGCTGGGCTGTAGGACTACTTTCGCCCGGGGGTGTGGAGGGCGGAGGGCGGAGGGCGGAGGGCGGGAGGGTGGGGCGCAAGTCCTACCTTAAGCTCTTTAATGTCGTCGATTTTGACCACAAACTCGTCCCATTTCCGAATGGCTCCCTCGCCCCCGCTCTCGTCGTTGTCCTCGTCTGTCTCCCCGCAGATCGCCACCAGCTCCTGCTTCTTGGCCAGGACGACCGGAGGCGGAGGAGGGGGTGGCGGGGGCTCCTTCTCCTCCTCGGGGGGAGGGGGTGACGGGGGCGCGGGGGAGGGCTCCCGGGCTGGGATCGGTTCCTTGGGCAGGAGCGGGGACGGCGGCGCGGTTTGCTCCGGCTGGGAAGCTTCGGAGGGTGAAGTGCTGATCTCGGGGTCTTCCACAATCACGTTGTCTGGAAAACAGCCCCAAACCCGTCAGAGGATACAGGCGTCAGACACACACACACACGCACACACACACACACACACACTCACACACACACGGGCATACACACACACACTCATACACACGCACACTCACACACGCGCGCGCAGACATACACAGAGATATATATATACACACACGCGCGCGCAGACACACACACACACTCATACACACGCGCGCGCAGACACACACACGCGCAGACACACGCGCGCGTAGATATACACACACTCATACACACACAAGCGCACACTCATACACACACACACAGGCGCACACACACACACACACACACAAGCGCACCCTCATACACACACACAGGCGCACACGTACACACACACATACACAAGCGCACCCTCATACACACACACACAGGCGCACACACACACACACAAGCGCACCCTCATACACACACACACGCAGGCGCGGACACCCACACCCACACACAAGTGCACACTCATACACACTCGCACGCAAAATAATAACAATAACCCTCGCTTTCGACGCAGCGCCCTTCACGTCTCAAAGCGCTTCACAGGAGTCGCTGTCGCGTGGAGTGACTGTGCATCTTGCGGGCGAAACGAGGCAGCCGATCGCCGCCCACCCCCGGCGTCCCCCGCAATCAGCCGCGTGTTGGGAGATCTATCACTGTGTCGCGAACCCTGACTTGGGGGGTGTGGACGGACCCTGCAGGGTGTCTCCAGCCCGGGCCCCTCACCTGTGCTGTCGTTCTCTTGCGGTCCACGGGGTCGTAGAGCGCGGAGATGGCGGACGAGATGCTCTTCTGCAGGTCCTGGTTCTTGCTGACCGAGTCCTCCTCATCGGAGGAGAAGGAGGGGAGGGTCTCCAGGTTTTTCTTGAGGTCCTCGTCGAAGCGCTTGCAGGGGCTGGTGCAGGACATCAGGCTGTCGCTCTCACTGGCATCCAGGTTGCCCGATAGCATGGACTGAGCCATCCCGAAGACCTGGGCCGGTTGGGAGATGACCGATCCAGGCCGCCCCTTCTGGGGGCTGGAGGCCGTGGCCGGGGGCTGCTGTCTCTTTCCCGACTTGAGGAAATCCAGGAAGGAAGCCATGAATCCGGACTTCATCTCCGGCTGTTTCTCCTCCACTTCCTTGATCTTCTTCTTGATCTTCTCCTGGGTCTGGCTGTTGTCCAGGCCGCTCTCAGCCGGCAGGACCTCCTGAGTCTCCACCGCCAGAAGCTCGCTCCCCTTCAGACCAGCTTGAAGCTTGACCTTTTTTGGGGGGGGGGGGTGGGAGGGAGGGGAGGGTTCGGGTTGGGGGAAGAGAGAGGCAAAGGGTCACGTGGCAGTCACACGTAGAGGAGTAGGGAATGCGAGAGGGAATAACGGACGGAGGGAATGGGAGAGAGATGGAATGGGAGAGGGAGAGAATGGGAGAGAGAAGGAATGGGAGAGGGAAGGAATGGCAGAGGGAGGGAATGGGAGAGGGAGGGAATGGGAGAGGGAGGGAATGGGAGAGGGAGGGAATGGGAGAGGGAGGGAATGGGAGAGGGAGGGAATGGGAGAGGGAGGGAATGGGAGAGGGAGGGAATGGGAGAGGGAGGGAATGGGAGAGAGAGTGAATGGGAGAGGGAGGCAATGGGAGAGAGATGGAATGGGAGAGGGAGGGAATGGGAGAGGGAGAGAATGGTAGAGGGAGGGAATGGGAGATAGAGAGTGGGAGTGAGAGAATGGAGAAGAGGGAAATGGGAGAGACGGAGGGAGGGAAGGAGGGAGTGAGAGACAGAGGCAACAGAGGCACGCGACGTCCTCAACATCACACGTCGCAAATCTCCTTTGGATGTTTGTTTACACGCGCGCCCACAAACACCGACACGAGGCGGAGTGAAGACCCCCCGAAATAACAACCGGTAAACAACGGGTTTTATTGCACCGCACACCCCCCCCCCCCCGACTGTCCAGGGCCTTGGGACGTCCTCCCGACGTGAAAGGGCGCTGAGTAAATGCAATGTGCTGTTGGTGTTGTTGTTGTTGTTGTTGTTGACTCACAGTGACACCGGGAGCCGTATCGCACGGGGTCTGTCTCTCTCGCTCGCTCGCCCTGAGAGACCGAGATCAACAACCGAGAGAGAGAGAGGAACTTAACTCGAGGCCTTACCTTGATGGGCTTGACTTGCTTCTCCAAACCAAAGCCCTCGCTCTCCTCCTCGGCCGCCTTCTTGCCCCTCCCCCTGCCCCTCCCCCTCTTCTTGGGGGCCTCGGGAGCCACGCCTTGAGGCGGGGCATCCAAGGGGCGGATGCGAGGTCGGCCCCGGGGCCGGGGGGGGCCTTTCTCCTTGGGCTTGGAGGCCCTCTTGCTCCGGCTCTTGCCTCCGTTCAGATTGTTGGTGTTGGCGCCCGAGGAGCAGAAGTCGATGTCCGTGACTGGGCTGATGTCCATCCTGGTCCTGCAGCTGGAGATGAGGTCGGGGAGTAGATCGGGCAGCCTGCGGTTGTTCAGCCTGATGTCAGCGGGCACGTCTTCCTTCTCCTCGTCCTCAAACTCATACTCCTGGGCGTACGTCTTCTTCGCCGCCTGCGGGGGAGACTCCTTCTTCTTGAGGAGCAGCAGCGAGGACGTCTTGAGGAACTTCTTGGTCTTCAAGGAGCAAAAACTTGCCGTGGTCAGAGGCGACTTGATGTCAGCGCTGGTGGGCCCGTGGTTGGGTTGACTGGTCATCTCCAGGTGCTCCGTCTGTACCTGCTGAGCCTCCACCATCTCGGGTTTCATCGACACCGAGTCTAGGCTGAGGTGGACGCCTTGTTGGTCTCCCCCGCCCCCACCCTCTGGGGTGCAGAACCCCGAGAAGCTCTGGTTGGAGTGAATCATCTCGTAGCCGGACTTCAACCCGTCTCCCCGCTCCATCCCTTGCCCGCCCTCCTCCCCGCACCCCTGCTTGCTGTACTCCACGTTGCTGCAGGGGGCTGAGCAGAACATGTCCTCCATGCCCGGGAAGAAGTTCCTCTCCTCGTCCTGCAAGAGCGAGTCGGGGAAGCAGATGGAGGTGAGGGGCAGGTACCTCTGCTTGTTGCTCTGAGGGCTGCCGGAGCTGAACTGGTCCTTACCGTCCATCTGCTGTTGGTCGACCTGTTGGCCCGACTCCGCTCGCTCCAGCCTCATCCCGTCGCCGGACTCCGGGAGCAGGTGCTGTTGCGATTGGACCTGGACCGAGCCGGACTGGGAGAGATGCGACTCCAGGTGCATGTCCGGCTCCAGGAATTCCTGCATCTCCCGAGACTGCAGGGTCTCGGAGCGCTCCAGTTCCCCCCCCTGCAGTTGGGGGGACTGCGGGTCGGGCTGGATCTGCCGCGAGTCCATGAGGTGGACGTCCATCGATTGCGGCCGGCCGTGGCCTTGCATCTGCCGGCTCTGGAGGTGGACCTCCAACATCTGGAGCTGGGGCGACTGAGCTTCCGCCTGCAGGCGTTGGGACTCCATCAAGTGGACGTCCATAGGCGTCTGGACCTTCCTCTGCTGGGCCTGCATCTGGCTCTGAGTGTGAGTGAGCACAGACTGCAGCAGCTGGGACTGCTGGCTGGCCGGCTGATGGGACATAGGCATCTGGAGCTCGGGTGAGGAGTCCAGCATGATCTGGGAGTTCTGCTGGCTCTGCAGGATGCCATGGCTCTCCATCTGCTGGGCCTCGGACACCATGTGGTGGGCTCGGGACCCCTGCTCGGGGGTCTTCTGCAGGAAGGAGTGGGTCTGCCCGATCTCCTTGTTGGACGCGTCCATGTGGGAGGATTGGAGGTGGTCCTTGTTGATGTCCTGGCTCAGGCCGTCGATGCTGTTGGGCTGGTGGCTGTAATGGACAACCGAGGTGACCAAGGCCTCCGAGGATGACCTGCCGTGACCGCCGTACTCCTTCTGTCTCTCTCCTTTCTTCTTCTCCTTCAGGCCTTGCAGGGACATCTCGAGCACCTGGTTGTCCAAGCTGGAGTTGGTCCTGATCACGCTCTGCAGGTGATACCTCTCCTCCGTCTTGGACATCTCGTAGACCATGCCCTTGCTCGCCCGGTCCTCTCCGCACTCCACCAGGCTTTGCGCCGACACCCGGGGCGGGCTCTGAGAATCCAGGAGATGCTGGATCAGGAAATCCTCGTCATCAGTGCGCTCCGAGGAGAGCAGGTCCGAATCCGGCTTGGACTTCCCGTAAGTCGGAGTCCTCTCAAGTGGGGACTGGGAAGGCTGGAAACTCTGGGAGTGGGAGGATTGGATGAAGGAGGGCGAGAGAACGGAGGAGAGGTATTTCTGGGATTGTCCGGGAGAGGCCACGGACTGGGAACGGCTGCCGGTGGGAGACTGGAGAGGCCGGATGATCTGGGAGGGGCTAGAGTCGGACATATGGCCGGAGGCCGAGTAGACGATGGACTGTCCGTGGCTGGACATGGAGGCTGGGGAGTGACCGGTGGCGTAGCTGAGAGAGGAGCTGACGGGAGGCATCCCTTGGGAATGTGCCGGCACGTAACTCTGCACCTCGGAGACCGAGGAGTGAGGCTCCGACTGGACGCTGTAAGGTCCCACAGAGGGCAACCCCTGTAGCTGCTCAGGGGAGTAACTCTGGGCTTGGCTGACACACGACTGCAGGCCCTGGGTTTGGCCGGTCTGATAGCTCTGGGACTTGCTGACGGACGCTGTCAGGTCCTGGGATTGGCTCGAGGCGAAGCCTTGGGACTGGGTGACGGACGAGAGGTTCTGGGCCTGCGAGGTGCTGTAGGTCTGGGGTTGGTTCATGGGCGAGTAGGCCTGGGATTGGCTGGAGATAACCGAGCTAGGTTTGGGGGTGGAGGAGGAATAGTTGTGGGACTGGCCACTGCTGGAGATACTTTGGCACTTGGGGGTGGCTGTGGACCTCTGCGCCTGTCTCGAAGCCGAATAACTCTTGGATTTCGAAGAGCCGGAGGACGAGGAATAACCGGGAGACTGGATGATGGGCCTGTAGCTCTGAGAGTGTTCGCTCCGCGCTTGCGAGCTCTTCTGCTGGCTCCCCTCGCTGCTCACCGAGCTCTGGTCTCCCAGCGGGCTGCAGGCCAGGCTGGAGTGACGCGACATCTGTTGGAAACCAGCCCCGCAGCTCAGGTAGTGCTGCAGGGAGTGGTGCGAGGCCGGGAGTTGGGCCTGGGCGCTGGAGGGACGTTGGTAGTGCTTGATCACGCTGTCCTGCCTGGGCATGGCTCTCTCGATGCTGGCCGCCGGCGAGGTGGAGAACACGGAGGTGTTGTACAGCTGCGAAGCCTGCTCGCTGGGTCCGAGCGGGGAGGAGAGCAGGTTGAACTGCGACTGGAGGTGACGGGAGGCCGATTCCTGCGCCGTGCGGTAGGCGGAGGTCTGAGAGGGAAGCCCGGTGCCCAGCACGGCACTGCCGAGCCGGTCGAAGGTCAGCGAGGAAGGCACGCTGGCCTGGGAGGACTTGATGTGCAGCAGGGGGTCGTGAGGGGAGAGCAGGCCGTTGGAGCTGGGGCTGAAGGTGGCGTCCTGGAGGGTCAGCGAGGAGGTGACGGGGAAGCTTCGGCCGCTGAAGGAGGCCGGGTGCTGGTAGGCCGACAGGGCCGAGGACGTGGGGAACGTTCCCGAACCCGGGATAGCGCCCGAGATGAACAACTCGGCCGGTCCGGGCGTGTGCATGGCTGAGGGGGTCGGAGGGAGAGAGAGAGAGAGAAAGGTGGGTGGGGGGGGTGGGGGTGTGGGTGGGGGGTGGGGGTGGGGGGGAGTGAGTAAGAGGTTGAAAGGTAAGCGACTAACAACGGCGTCAAACAGAGGCGTGTGCGCGTGCCTAACGTGTCGCCCTGTCCTGTCCCGCCCGGGAATCGAACCCGGGTCCTCCTCCTCCGAGCTACAGGGCTCGACTGCCCGGCCCTAATAATAGTAATAATAATAACAATAATAGTAATAATAATAGTAATAATAATAGTAATCGCATTCGACGCGGCGCCTCGCCACGTCGCCGAGACGTCTCAAAGCGCTTCGCAGGATGTACTGCCGAGTGTAGTGACCGTGTGTATTCGCCGGCGGTGGCTGCCGCGCCCCCTGCGCCCCCGCCCGCCCGCCAACCCCCCCCCCCACGCCCGGGTAACCAATTACCAACCTGTCTGCCAGGCCGGAGGCCGGAATTGGGAGAGGAGAGAGGAGGCGGTGGGCCCGGATTGCGGGGCCCGGGATTCCAGGGCGGAGATCAGGTTCATGACGGAGGCGTCGGGGGCGGCGGTGCCCGTGTGGTGCAGCCCAGTCTCAAACAGGCCGGAGAGACCTGGCAGGAGGGGCGAGGGGTGAGACGCCCGCTCTCGCTCGCTCGCCCGCCCGCGGGCGGGGGGCGCGCACGCACACGCTCGCTCACTCACACACACGCGCGCCCGCGCACTCTCGCGCTCACTCTCTCGCCCGCTCACGCCCACTCTCGCTCACTCACACACACGCGCTCGCTCACTCACACACACACACGCACTCGCGCGGGCGCACGCTCTGGCGCTCACTCTCTCACACGCACTCGCGCGCACGCACGCCCACTCTTGCTCACTCACACACGCACTCGCGCGCACGCGCGCACTCTCGCGCTCACTCTCCCGCTCGCTCACTCACTCTCGCGTAGACTCTCACTCACTCACTCTCTTTCTCACTCACTCTCGTTCACTCACACACACACTCTCTCTCACTCACTTTCTCACACACACACACACACTCTCTCTCACACACTCTCTCTCACTCTCGTTCACTCACACACTCTCTCACTCACTCTCACTCACTTTCACACACACACTCTCTCTCACTCTCACTCACTCCTCACACACACACACACACACACACACTCTCTCACTCACCTTCACACACACACTCTCTCGCACTCTCAACTCACTCCCGTTCACCTCTCACGCACTCTTCTCACTCACTCCCCCCTTCACACAGACACACACAAAGACCTCAGACGCGCACAGATGTGCACCCGCCCGAACAAGCCCGCGCGCGGGCACCCGTGCCAACGTAAACGCGCAAGGGCCCGCACGCGCGTTTGCACGTCCGCTTAACAATAGAACGTCAGGCGAATCAACACACGTGATAGGACTCGCGCACCGACGTGCGGCGTCTCAGACGCGGGCCTGCCTGCAGATTCGGGCAGACGGACGGACAGACACACCCGCGCGCACAAGCGCAACCGCGCGCGGCCGGACACGGGCGTGCGGGTAACGTGCGCGGTGGTTACCGGCGGGGTGGTGGTTGGTGGCGTAGCCCTGGAGGGGGTGAGCGGTGGCGTAGGCCTGGCGATGCAGGATGTCCGTGTCCGGGTGGGAACCTCGAGACCCTCCGTACACCAGGCTGGAGACAGAGAGATACGACACTGGGGGCAGTTAGTGGGGGGGGTGGTCCAGGCTGTTGGGTTCCCCCCCCTCCGACCCCCTGCCCGGCCCCACACGCACTCACACGCACTCACACGCGTCCCAGAGATGGGCAATACCGCGGCCTCATCGCGTCCTCGCGGACGCCTCGCAGAACAGACCCTCCAGTGAGCGCGTTTTGCGGGCGGAACGCGGCACCCGACTGCGTCCCGACAGGCAGCCGCGGATCGAAAAGGGACCAATTTATTATTATTATTTTTTGAGGGATTATTTACCGCCACTCCCCGGGAAAAGCGATCCGCCAATCGAGGGGACAACCGTGTTCCTACTTACTGCTGGTAAACAGGCGTGTGCGGGCGCGTGTGTGCGCGTGTGTGGGGGGTGGGGGGGGGGGGGAGTAAGGAAACTTGCGAGGATCATAATTATTATTATTACTACTATGGACTGTGTATTTCGTGGGCAGTACCACCCGTCGATACTATTGAGATCGACGAAGATAAGTCTCGCGTCAATTTTACTCTTCAGCGGCAGTTCAGCCGAGAGAACGGTTCTCCACCCGATCGATTGTCAATACAAATCCAACCCCACCCCACGCGCACAGGCGGCGCGCACACGCACACGCACACGCACGCGCTCCCCACCCCAGTCGCAACGCCGCTGTGCAAAGATCTCTCGTTTTTACGTTTGCGTCTGTGCGAACGGAGCAATCGGTGGGTCTCAGCGATCGTCTGAATCGTCGTGTACGTGTCCACATGTACAAAAGGTGCAACACGCGGAGAAACCCAGAGACGTACAGAGAAGTGCACACGTCCACAGAGGTACACAGGTCAGTATACACGTACACCGAGGTGCGTAATAAGAATAATTCTTGCATCTGATACAGCCTCATCACGGCATTGAGACTCTTCAGAGCGCTTCACGGAATATACTACAAAGTGGAGTGACTGTGTATCTTCTGGGCCAAGTGCACGTAGGCAGGTACACGCCTGGGCCACTCCGCGTGCGCTAGATCAAATGCAAGGATTATTATTATTATTAATATTATGTACCTCTTTGTATGTGTGTACCGACCTGTGTACTTCTCTGTGTGTGTGTGTGTGTGCATATGTAGACACAGATGTACACAGACAGACAGGCAGGCACACGCACACAGATACCCAGGCAATTACACACACACACACACACAGATACCCAGACAATTGCACACACATACACACACAGATACCCAGACAATTGCACACACACACAGATACCCAGACAATTACACACACACACACACACAGATACCCAGACAATTACACACACACACACACAGATACCCAGACAATTACACACACACACACACAGATACCCAGACAATTACACACACACAGACAGATACCCAGACAATTGCACCCACACACACACACAGATACCCAGACAATTGCACACACACACACACAGATACCCAGACAATTACACAACACACACACACAGATACCCAGACAATTGCACACACACACACAGATACCCAGACAATTACACACACACACACACAGATACCCAGACAATTGCACACACACACACACAGACAGATACCCAGACAATTACACACACACACACAGATACCCAGACAATTACACACACACACACACACAGATACCCAGACAATTGCACACACACACAGATACCCAGACAATTGCACAACACACACACACAGATACCCAGACAATTGCACACACACACACAGATACCCAGACAATTGCACAACACACACACACAGATACCCAGACAATTACACACACACACACACAGATACCCAGACAATTACACACACACACACACAGATACCCAGACAATTGCACACATACACACACAGATACCCAGACAATTGCACACACATACACACACAGATACCCAGACAATTACACACACACGCACACAGATACCCAGACAATTACACACACACACACACAGATACCCAGACAATTACACACACACACACACAGATACCCAGACAATTGCACACACACACACACACAGATACCCAGACAATTGCACACACACACACACACAGATACCCAGACAATTGCACACACACACACACAGATACCCAGACAATTACACACACACACGCGCACACAGACAGGTCACTGGCTTAGATATAGTGCGCAATGCTCTGGGCCTGACCGGCTGAACCGGCGCTTACCTGATGTTAAGATGAATTTGTTGCAGTGATTGCATTGGATTCAATGAGTGTATTAGTAAACCCGGAGCAGGAGATCCCACGTGAGCATTAATTGGATTTACACCAGAACTGTCCGACACAACAAAACAAACCCATTCACTTCCTACGACCCACTCCCTTCGACGCAGACTCCGGCGGACGAGGTGTTGAACCCACAGTCCAGGCTGATGCTCCAATGCAGCACTGGGGGGGGGGTGTGGGGGTGGGGGGTGGTGGGGGGTGTGGGGGTGTTGCACGGTTGGAGACGCCATCCTTCGGGCGGAGCGTTAAACCTCACTCCCCGTCTGCCGCGTTCGTTCGGGTGGACCTTCGAAAGATCTCCCGCGGCACTGATCGAAAAGAGGAGTCTCTCTCTCTCTCTCTCTCTCTCTCTCTCCCTCTCCTCGGAGCGTCCGGGCCGACGATCCCTCGGGAACCGAAACCGATTCGACTCAACTCCCGCGGCCGTCTGCGGGACGACGCCTCCGCCGCCGCCGCCGCCGCCGCGCGCAGAATCGGCCGCCGGGTGTCTCCCCACAAAAACACGCGGTCGCTTTCACCCCCGCGGCGTATCCTGTGAAGCGCTCTGGGACGTCCTCCTGACTAGAGAGGTGCTGTGTCGGCCGTAAGGATTATTATTATATTATATTATATTATTTTCTAGCGAACCAACTTTCTCCCTGGAACCCTCCCCCTCTCTCCCTCCCTCCCTTCCTCCCTCCCTCCCTCGACTCGTTGTCGGACCCCGACACTGTCGAGCTCTCCGGGGACCCCTCCCCGCCTCCTGATTCCCAACCCCCACCTCGGGTGAGGATCCCTGACTGCCCCCACATCCTCCTGACGCGAGAGGCGCTGTGCAAATGTCATTCGGCGCTGTTGCTGCTGTTGTAGCTGCTGTCGAACAGATAAAATCAGTCGGTCACTTCGCAGTGAGGAGGTCGCCGCGCGCAAACCGGCTGCGCGGCGCACGGTCACTACGCTTCAGGGTGAATTCCCGCGAAGCTCTTTTCGAGGCCTCCACCGGCTCGAACGCACAGGTCATGGTCGTCGCCTCTCAACGCCATCCGCGACTGAGCCAAACGTCTCTCATCCGCTCCAACGGCGGCAATAATAACCCGCGCCTTCGAACCCGGCGCCTCATCGCGTGGCCGCGGCGTCTCGGGAGCGCTCCGCGGGACGCGCCGCGAAGAGAGCCGACCCCGTACACGGTGTGGGCGAACGGCAATATATTCCTACGTACACCAACAGCGATCAGACTCCCCGGAACGACCTCCCGAAGCGCGCGGTCCGCGGGGACGACTGCGGAAACAAGACGGCGTGCGTCCACCGGCACCGCCGCGCGCCCGCCCTCCCCGCGCCCGCCCTCCCCTCCCGCGACGGTACCGCACGCTCGGAATAAAAGTATTTGGCAAAAAAACAAATAACCTCGCACGCACGCACGCGTGAATAAATCAATCCAACGAAAGCGAGATGCCTCCTACTCGCTGCCTCCCCGGAATAATACACACACGCACGCACACGCACCACACACACGCACACCACACACGCACACGCGCACGCACACGCCGACCAACAACACAGCTCGGCCGATTCAAACCATCTTCACATTCATTTTGAGTCGAAAGACGACGATGATAATAGTGACAATGATGAACCAGAAGGGCTTCCCGGACCGGGAACCCTCTCAGCGTTCATTTCCATTTGACACAGAGAGCCCCCACACACCCCCCCACCACCCCACACCCCCCCCGAGCGCGTCCTCGAGACGGCTCAAAAGCGCCGGCCCGGGCTACGTCCGGCGGGCGGCCAAAGTGGCTCGACCCGGGAGTGTTTTGTGGACGAAACGCGACCGCAAAATGGGGAGGGGGGTGTGTGGGGGGTGTGGGGGGGGGGGTGGGGGGGGGTGGGGGGAGAGAGAGAGAGAGAGGTGGGAAGGGGGAAAGGATAGTAATAATAAAAAGAAAATGCCCCTAAAAAAATATATCTCGCGGCGGAGATTTCCAGCCGGTGATCTGATTTGAGATTGGGGTGTGGGGGGGGGGGGGGGTGGGGGGTGGGGGGGGTCCCAAATAGAATAGAGAAAGGGGGTTTGGGGATGGGGGGTGTGGGGGGGGGTGCGCTGTGTGTGTGTGTGTGTGTCTGTGTCTGTGGGTGGGGGTGTGTGGGGTGTGGGTGGGGGGGGGGTGTGTGTATGTGGGGGGGTGGGGAGGGGGGGGAATCCCAAATAGAATAGATAAGGGGGTGGGGGGGGGGGTGCGCTGTGTGTGTGTCTGTGGGTGTGTGGTGTGGGGGTGTGTGTGTGGGGGGGGGTGGGGGGTGTGTGGGGGGGGTGTGTGTGTGGGGGGGGGTGTGTGGGGGTGTGTGTGTGGGGGGGGGGGGTGTGTGGGGGTGTGTGTGGGGGTGGGGGGGGGCGGGGTGTGGGGAGTGTGGGGAGTGGGAGGAATCCCAAATGGAATAGAGAAGAGGGTAGGGGGGGGATGCTCTGTGTGTGTGTGTGTGGGTGGGGTGGTGGTGTGGGTGGGGGTGTGTGTGGGTGTGTGGGTGGGGGGGGGTAGAGGAGGAAGAAGAGAGGTGGGTGGGGTGGGGGGGGGGAGAGGGAGAGAGAGAGAGAGAGAGGGGGTGAGAGGGTTTGGGAAAGTTCAGCAAATGGCAAATGCAAACACACACAGAGAGAGAGAGAGAGAAAAAAATATCTGGAGAGAGAGAGAGAGAGAGAGGAGAGGAGAGGAGAGGAAAGAGGAGAGAAGGAGAGGGAGAGAAGGAGAAGAAGGAGAGAAAGAAAGAGAGAAAGAAAGGAGAGAGAGAGAGAGAGAGAGAAAAAAGGACTTGAACAGCAGGATCATGCCATGGAGAGAGAGGAGTGTTAGCAGAGGGGAGGGGAGGGAGTGGGAGTGGGAGTGGGGAGGGTTTATTTTTATTTTTATTTTTCATTTGCAAAGGCATATTGAGGGGGTGAGTGAGTGAGAGAGTGAGAGGAGGAGAGAGAGAGGGAGAGAGAGAGAGGTTGCAATCTGGGCCTTATCAGTACACCAATCCCTGTAACATTTTGCTTTTTAAGGCCTTTGATCTATTTCAAACCCCAACAGAGAAGGAGAGAGAGAGAGAGAGAGAGAGGAATGGATTTTGCTACAATCCCTCACGACAATGTTTCCCCCTTTCTTTTTCTTTGCTACAACACACACACACACACACACACATATGTGTATATTATACACATATATATGCACTCACATATATATATTGTGCACAGATATATCATACACACACATATATGTTATACACACACACATATACATGTTATACACACACACACAACACACATACACTCACATATATATTATACACATATATATGTTATATATATTATACATATGTATGTTATACACATATATGTTATACATATTATACATATGTATGTTATACACATATATGTTATACATATTATACATATGTATGTCACACACAGATATGTTATGTTATACATATATAGTACATACATATACACTCATATATATATTATACACATATATACACTCACATATATATATATTATACACATATATACACACACAGACTCGTATATATAATATAAATATATGTGCATATGCATCAATAAAAAATAAGCATTTTTCTTCTCTCTCTCTCTCTCTCTCTCTCTCTAATCTCTCTTTCTTTCTCTCTAAAACCCCCTACACCCACATCTCTCTCTCTCTCTCTCTCCCTCACACACACTCACACACATCTGATCACTGTGTGTGTGACTGTCTGTGTTTTGCAGAGGACCCCCAAAAAAAACACAGGAACACTCACAAACCCAAACACAGGTCCCTGTGCATTTATTTATTGACCCCCAAAAAAATCTCTCTCTCTCTCTCTCTCTCTCAGCAAATCAATCCCACCCCCACACAACACCCCCCAACCCCCCCCAACCCCCCCCCCACACCCCCACCCCCAAAAAAATCTGCAACTTTGCAAATCCACTCCAAATGGAAAGGTAACCATTTTTCCTGTGAGAGAGAGAGAGAGTGAGAGAGAGAGAGAGTGAGAGAGAGAATACAGTGTTTCCACTTTACAGAGAGAGGAAACAAAGTGACTCTCTCTCTCTCTCTCTCTCCTCTCCACCACCATCACCACCATCATTATTATTATTATTATTATTGTTATTATGGTTATTAATTCCCTGGGGGGGTTACCTGGCTTTGACTCCTGATGCTGTCCTTTCGTAGCTCCATCCTTGTCCAGTGCCTAATGGGTCTCCAAAACCAGAGGCTGAATAATTCCTATCCATTAATTTCTGAAAAATTTGGGGCTTTTTTCTTCTCTTTCCTCCTCTTCTCTCTCTCTCTCTTCTTCTTCTTCTTCTTCTTCTTCTTCTCACATATATATATATATAATCAAAAAAAATATATATATATAAATCTACATATATATATATATAAATCAGATATATATATATATGTATATATATATATATAAATGAGATATATGTAAATATATATATAGATATATATTTATATATATATATATATGATTTTTTTTTCCCCCTCCAAAAAAAAAAGGGGGAAAGGGATCTTTCTTTCTTAATGGATTGCAGAGCCCAGGGGTTGGGGGGAGGGGTTGGGGGTCACTTGCCCTCAGGTGGGGGTCTGCAGAGGGCCCCTCTTGGCCCTGAGGCTGTGGTGGGTTTTGCAGCTATTTTTCCCCCTGTGTTGGGAGTCACAGTGCAGCCATTTCACTCTCTCTCTCTCTCTCTCTGTGTCTGTGATCTCAATACCCACAATACCTCTCAGATGCAGAGGGGGAGGGAGGGGGGGAGGGGGGAGTGAGGGGGGGGAGGGGGGGGGGGGAGGGGGAGTGAGGGGGGGGGAGGGGGAGGGACTCACTCACAGAGAGACAGAGAGAGACTCACACACACACACAGAGAAAGAGTCACAGAGAGAGAGACACAAACACACACTCACACACAGACTCACACACAGAGACACACAGAGAGACACAGACACACACACACACAGAAACTCACACACACAGAGACACACACAGACTGACACACACACAGAGACACACAGACTCAGAGACACACACACAGACTCACACACACAGAGACACAGACACACAGACTCACACACACAGAGAGACACAGACACACACAGACTCACACACACACAGAGACACAGACACACACAGACTCACACACACAGAGAGACACAGACACACACAGACTCACACACACAGAGAGACACAGACACACACAGACTCACACACACAGAGACACAGACACACAGACTCACACACACAGAGAGACACAGACACACACAGACTCACACACACAGAGAGACACAGACACACACAGACTCACACACACAGACACACACAGTGACACAGACACACACAGACTCACACACACAGAGAGACACAGACACACACAGACTCACACACACAGAGAGACACAGACACACACAGACTCACACACACAGAGACACAGACACACAGACTCACACACACAGAGAGACACAGACACACACACACTCACACACACAGAGAGACACAGACACACACAGACTCACACACACAGACACACACAGTGACACAGACACACACAGACTCACACACACAGACACACACACAGTGACACAGACACACACACAGAGACACAGACACACACAGACACACACACACACAGAGACTCACACAGACACACACACAGACTCACACACACAGACACACAGAGACACACACACACAGAGACTCACACACACAGACACAGAGACACACACACTCACACACACAGACACACAGAGACTCACACACACACAGACTGACACACAGACACACAGAGACTCACACACACAGAGACACACACAGACACACTCACACACAGAGACTCACACACACACAGAGACTCATACACACACACAGAGACTCACACACACACACAGACTCACACACAGACACACACAGAGACACACCCACAGACACACACAGAGACACCCACAGAGACACACACCCACACGCGCGCACACCGGGGGCGGAGGGAGGAAAGAGACATTTTAACATTGCAGCTTCAGTTCTTCGGAGAAATGCGCCCAAATTTGCCCACGAAAGACACAGTCACTACACTCCAGAGCGAAGCCTTCGAGACGTCCCCCCTGTATCGCGCGGCGCGGGTTGATTATCATTCCGGGCCGGACCGCGGGTGGGTGGGGGGTGCGGGTGGGTGGGGGGGGAGGGGGGGGTGGGGGGTGGGGGGGGGGGGTTGTGCGGTGGGAGAGCGAAGATTTGAGCTGAGGCCCATTGGGAGGGTCTTCCATTGGGTTACACGAGGGTTCTCCCTCCGTCCCCTCCGCTCGGCAGGCGCTGGCCTCGCCCCACCATCGGCAGTCAAGCCATCAACCTCTCTCCCCCCCCCACCCCCACACCCCCACCCCCACACCCCCCCACCCCCACACCCCCACCCGCCGCCGCCTCCCCTTCGGAACTCCATCCCAAAGTCCCTCGACCTCCTTCAAGGACCATCTCAAGACCCTCCTCTTCGACCCTCACCTTCCATCACCCTCCCGCCCCCCCCCCCCCCCCCCCCCCCCACCCCACCCCACCCCACCCCACCCTCCCGATTCCAACCCCCAGCTCAGGCCCTAATCCCTGACCGTCCGGCACTTTGGGACGTCCCACCCGACGGGAAAGGCGCTGCGTAGACGTCACGTGTCACGCGCGCGCTCTCTCTCTCTCTCTCTCTCTCGCTCTCTCGCTCGCTCTCTCTCGCTCTCTCTCGCTCGCTCCGTGGTGGGACAAGTCTCGCGAAGAGATTCCCGCGATCCGCGGAGAGCCCAAACCCCCAACGCGAAAAAAGAAGGTCCGCCGGTCAACCTCCACGACTCCCCTCTGATCTCCTTCCGGCCACGAGACCTCGCGCACCACGCACGCGCTTGCGCGCGCACCACACGCACGCACACGCGGGCGGCGCGCGCCCCCCCAGCAGCAAAGAAGCCATTGTAACCCCTTCCGGGAGATCCAGAGAGGAACTCTCTTTCCCAGTCCCTCCGAAACCTCATCCCAACCGCGCGGGGAAAGAAAATTCCACCTGCGTGTCGGCTGCTGGAGGGGCAACAATAATAATAATACTTCCACTTGATATCGGGGCCGTATCACACCGCCGAGACGTCGCAAAGCGCTTCGGGCGACACAACACCGTGAAGTGGAGTGACTCTCTTTGTTGGGCGGAACGGCACAGACCGGGAGGGCTGAGGGCCCGACCGCCGGTTGTGGAAGACCGTTCCCCGACTTCGCCTCTCGGACGTTGCCGCCGTCTCAACTTAAAAGCCAAAGCGAACGAGAGGGCGCCCCCGGCGCTCGCCGAGCGCGGCGGGGGGACGGGGGGCGGGGGACGGGGGACGGCGGGTTGAGGGAGAATGGGTTGACGGAGAGGGCGGAGAGACTTAAAGGCGTTATTGTCGTTCATTTTCTTAGCGTTGCGAAGCCCTTTGAAGAATAAATTGGGATTAAAAATACTTTTCTCTCTCTCTCTCTCTCTCTCTCACATTTCTCCGGACCGATTGCCACTCCTCGCTCGCCGTCAAGCGTCGCGGTTGGCGCGCTCGCAAGCGAGAGGACCCGGGTTCGATCCCCACCACCCCCCCTACCCCCCCCCACCCCACCCCACCACCCCCCAGACAGAGACCTCTCAAAGCGCTTCACGGGATATGCCGCAGAGTCGATCGAACGTACATTTCGTGGGCGAAAAAGAAATATCAACGTCAAATGTCGGGGCGGGTTCCCCCCCGACCCACACGAGGTGCGACCACGAGTTCTCACCCTCACCGTTCCGAACGGAATGAAATGTTTTGATTTTATTGCGAATTTGTTACGATACACGCAAACAACGTCCGTACCGGAGAGACGCACGGGCGAACTTGTCTTTCTTTTCCCCCTTAAAAGACATACCGAAAAAAAAATAAAACATGTCCCGACGCAGGGAAATCCGTTCGGGTCCTGAGTTTGGGCAGCGATCCTCCATCGCAGTGGTCTCCAACGTTGGCCGTTTCCCTGTTGGTGGGTGTGTGTATCGGGGGGTGCGCGCGTGTGTGTGTGTGTGGCGGTGGGGGGGTGTGTGTGTGCGCGCGGGTGGGGGTGTGTGTGGCGGTGGGAGTGTGTGTGGGAGTGTGGATGTGTCTGCGTCTGGGCGTGCGTGCGTGTGCGCGGGGGGTGGAGACGAGAGTTCCCCTTCTTAAACCGCGCACAGCAGCGATCGCCTTACAATTTCTCCCCCTCCCGCTGATCCCACACACCACCCGCACTCCCTCATCCATTCCACCCCTCCCTCCCTCCCTCCATCCCTCCCTCCGGCTTCCAACAAAAAAAAGGTGGACAAAAATAGCTGTCGGGGTCCCTTGTGTTCAGCGGCGCTGCTATACTCGTTGAGATCCACTAAAGAGAGAGAAGGAGAGAGAGAGAGAGAGAGAGAAAAAAAGAGTTGGTTACTCGCAGCTCAGGTTTGCTCTCTCACCACAGAGATACATTCATAAAAGATCCCCGAATTTATTCCTTTATTTATTTATGTGCCTCATTACGTCGTCGAGACGTCTTCGCATATATATATATATATACGGCAAAGTGAATTAACCGACGGGGTATCTCGTGGAGGGGAACCCGGGTCCTCTCGCTCGCGAGGCGAGTGCTCTAACCAATACCCTACAGGACTCCAGGGAAACAGAGGGGAGCGGAGTAAGGAAACTTGTCAAAGTTTTCCCCCCCTCCCACACCCCTGTCTGGGAATCGAACCCCGAGCCCTCTCGCTTGCGAGTCGAGCGCTCTAACCACCACTCTACTGGTCTCCACGGACGGTTGGACCCCGTTGCGATGCGGGGCTTTCGGGGGTCCGATAAAAAAGAACGCGGACCCCGATTTACAACGTGCTCTTTTTTTTTCCTATATAAAACGGACCCCAAAAGTGCTGCGTAAATCTACAGCGCACCGGAGAGGGTTACGCGGGCAGTGTCCTGAGAGAGTGCACGAGAGACACGGAGTGACACACACACACACACACACACACGCACAGGACTGAGAACGCGTGTGAGACACAGAGATGGAGACGTTCGCGCGCCCGCGCCCGCAGACACGCGTGCACAGGCAGCGACAGAGAGAGAGCGCGACAGAGAGCGATCCACAGAGACAGAGAGAGGGAGAGGAAGAGGGAGAGACAGACGAAGAGAGTTGATGAGGAGGTACTGACCCACGGTAAGGTGGGGGCATGGCATCGTGTTGGCCTGATCTCTCCAAGGCCTCCTCGTATGAGGGCAAACCGGGCGCGACGCTCTCCAGGGTAGTCAGTGGCACCTCTTCAGGCCTCGAGGCCACTGGCTGGTTCACTGGGGGAGGGCTGTGCTCCATGTAGACAGGCGGCCTGGGGCGCACAACACAGCACAACACGACACAGTCACACGAGGCTGTCACCATCACAGGCATCACCTCCCACAACAACAATAATAATAATTGCCACGTCTCGCCCCCGCTCGGGAATCGAACCCAGGTCCTCTGGCGTGCGAAGCGATTGCTGCAGGACTCCCACCCATCTCCCCCACTCCGCACCAAGACCGTTCCCCCCCCCCCCCACCCCAACCCCCAACCTTCCTCCCCACTAACTGGACACTAATGAGGATACTGACCTCGCCGACCGACTCACACACACACACACTCACACACACACAGGAGGGAGAACTGACCGACTCCCTCTGTCTCTCTCTCTCTCACACGCGCGCACCCACCCACCCACCCACCCACCCACTGACCGTCTCGGACACTAACCTCACTGACCGCTTTCCGCGTTGCTTGCAGAAGTAAATGACGACCAGGGTCATCAGGATGAGCAGGACAAAGGCCCCGATGAGCCCGGCCACCAGCCCGGCCACGTCAAAGGCCGGAGACTCTGTGGGTGGGGGGTGGGTGGGTGGGGGTGGGTGCAGAGATCGCAGACAGGTTAACACACATCACCTCTCGCTGCCCCCCCCCTCCTCACCCTGGCCTCCCCCTCATCCCAGCCCGTTCCTCCATCAGGACCAAGTGTACAGTCGTGTCATTTGACAGCAAAGCCCTTTGAGACGTCTCGAGGACGGGATAAGGCGCTACATCGAAATGCAAGGATTATTATTGTTGTTGTTGTGACTGATCTCAGCCCCACTCTGTGCTGAGGGGCTGATCTTTTACCCCAATCTCAGCCTGGAATCTTACTGATGGTCGGGACGATTGGGGAGAGAGAGGATTGCGGAAAGCGGAGGCACTGGGCGGAGTGGGGGAGAGAGGAGGGAGAAGAGGGAGGGAGAGAGGGAGGGAAAGAGAACCCACTGAAATAAAACTCACTCAGGAACACATCTGACACTTACCCGACTCGTGGTTGTTGGCCTTCACGTATTCGTTCTGCAACAAACACACTTGACCATCAGCAACAAACAACAGCAACGTGCACGCACGCAGCACCCCTCACGCGGGGCAGAGTCTCGGAGCGTTTAACGGTAGCGGAGCCGGGGGGGGGGGGCGCGGGGGTAGGAGGTGACCGTACGTACGGTCGAAGAGGATCGCCCTTCGGTCGCGATCGCCCACGAAACACAGTCAATTCACTTCACAGTATATTCCGTGAAGCGCTTTGAGACGTCTCAACGACGTGATAATAATAATAATAATAATAATATTATTAATAGTAATGCGTGCATTTGACCCGGCGCCTGATCACGTCTTCGAGACCTCTCAAAGCGCTTCACGGGATAGACGGTAAAGTGGAGTGACCGTGTGATTTGAGGAACGAAACGCGGCAGCCGATTGCGCACAGCAGCGTTCCCCCCCACAAACAGCAGTGGATCGAGTGAACGAGTTATAATTTGGTTTAAAATCAAACGCAAAGATGATTGTTACGAGGGTTTTGATTCCGGTGAAGACATGGGGAGGGTCCCGGGACGGTGGGTGGGAATTCGTTTCGGGAATCTCTCTCTCGGGTGTGAAACTTGCCGTCAATTCGACATTCTCGAAGCATTCGTTCGCTTCCTCGAAGTTGCAGACTTCCTCCTGACATTCCCGCTCCAGGTTACAAGGAATGAAGAGCTCAAAGTCCCAGTTATTGTAGAGAAGCTTTCGTTGCAGGAAACTCTTCGCCTGGTTCTCCTCCACAAACACTGAGACAGAGAGAGAGAGAGAGAGGGAGAGAGAGAGGGTCACAGAACGACTGGGTCAGAGAAAGAGAGCGAGAGAAGAGAGGGGGAGAAAGAAAAGAGAGAGGGTCAAAGAAAGACAGAGTGAGTCAGAGAGTCAAAGAGAGAGAGAGGGAGAGAGAGAGTGTGAGAGAGTCAGAGAAACACAGACAGAGTCGGGGAGACACGGAGAAAGAGAGAGAGAGAAAGAGAGAGAGAGACGTACGATAAGAGGGTACACGTAGCGATGTGGCAGATCGCTGTATGATAGGGACCCTGTGATGTACCTGAAGATGAGCTCCTCTCCACTGAGATCAGCGGTCGGGGGTTTGCACCCACAGCCCCTGCCCCAAATACCAGCAGCAGCCAGGGTCTCAGCATGGCGGGCGGACAGCACCTGGGTGGGGGGGGGGGGAGAGAGGGGAAAAGAGGGGGAAAGAGAGAAAAGAGGGAAAAAGAGAGAGGCGGGAGAGAGAGAGAGAGATGGGGGTAGGAGATAGATAGATATATATAGAGAGAGAGAGAGAGGGAAGTGAGAAATATAGGGGAGCGCGGTCGAGCAAGCGAGAAAGAGGGGGAGAGAAACAGAGAGAGAGAGAGAGAGAGAAGGAGGGAGGGGGGAAGAGAAAGAGGGGAGAGAGGGAAGAAGCACATATTTATCATCAGATCGTAGAATGAGACATTACAGCTCAGGAGACAGACACACTGTAAACCGCTGACCTTAAACAGTTTCCTCTCTCCATAGATGCTGCTTGACCCGCTGAGTGTGTCACCAGCGACTGCTGTACTCATTACGCAGCGCCCATCCCCAGACCTGGGGCTCACTCCCCCTCCCATACCCCATTCCTGTCTCAACCCCTTTAGCCTTCCTCCTCGAAAGCGGATCCAATCCCCGGTCAGTCCAACAACTACGACAGGTTGTAATCGCTGCTCTGTGGAGCGATATCAATCAATCAATCAATCAATCGATCGATCGATCGATCAATAAATAATCCTCGCATTTGATACAGAGCTCTTCACGTCTTCGAGGCGTCTCAAAGCGCTTCACGGAATAAGACTGTAAAGCGAATTCACTGTGTATTTTGTGGGCGAAACGCGGCGGCCGATTGCGCACAGTGACGTCCCCGCAAACAGTCGTGGATTGGAGTGACCGATTTACGGCAGTTTAGGAGACAAACCCCCTCCAGTCTCCTCGGGCTGAGGGCGGCTGCAGAAATCCCCCTATCCCCAACGTGTCTGTTCTTCCTCTCTCAGCCTCACACAAGATCAGTGTTGGCAGGAGATTCAGGTCGTGGTGGAGAAATCACAAGCGCACTCACACACACACACACACACACACACACAGTCAGACACCCAAACAGACACACAGATACTCACACCCAGACACACCCAGACACACAGACACACACAGACACCCACAGACACCCAGACACACACGGACACCCAGACACCCACAGACACCCAGACACACACACAGACACCCACGGACACCCATACACACACAGACACCCACAGACACCCAGACACACACACAGACACCCACGGACACCCATACACACACAGACACCCAGACACACACACAGACACCCACAGACACCCAGACACACACAGACACCCACAGACACCCAGACACACAGACACCCACAGACATCCAGACACACACCCAGACACACACATACACCCAGACACCCACAGACGAGACTGAGAGCGGGCAGTCAGTACAGAGTTGGGGGCGAGGGGGAGGGAGTCCTACCGGGGGAAAGGTGCAGCCTGTACCAACCGGGGGACCGACAGTGTGCGAGCGAGAATGGGGCTCAGACCCCGAGACCCAAGCCTCCGCTCAGCCCTGCTCAGTGCCACCAGCCACCGTACCTGTCAGTGAGTCACCCCCTCGCCCAGACCACGCCCCGACTGTGTAAACACCAGCGGAGTGACTCACACCACATTGAGTGCCCCAATTTGAGTGCTCCAGCACCCGCAGAGCCGGGGGCAAGAAATCCGGGCGACGGGAGAGGGGGAAGTTTGCGCTAAAAATGAGAGAGTCCAGGTTCGACCCCCCCCCCCCCCCCGCACACACACACGCATAGAACGCCACACACCCACCCACCCACCCACACACACACAGCGAATGGCAGCTTCTGCACGTTCAAGCTCCCACGCCAAGACCTGGAGTCACATAGTCTAAGCTGATGCTCCAGTGCAGCGCATGGGTGGGGGGGGGGGGGGGGGGTTGCACTGTCGGAGGTGCCGTCCTCTGGATGAGACATGAAACCAACAACGCATGGCATTTACTCGGCACCTTTCACGTCTCAGGAGGACGTCCCGGGGCGCTGGACAGTCAGGGACACGCACCCGAGCTGAGGGTAGAGATCAGGAGGGGGGTGGAGGGCAGGGGGTAGGAGGGTCACCGAAAGCACGGTCGAAGAGGAGGGTCTTGAGACAGGGTCGCGAAGGAAGCAAGAGGGAGGGGGGGGAGGTGGAGGGACTGCGGGATGGCGGCAGAGAGGGGCGGGCGAGGCTGGGCGACATGAAGCTGAGCGGAGGGAGTGGGCAGGGCGTTGGTAGAGGGTTAGGAGGTCACAGAGGTAGGGGCACGGAGGGCTTTGACGGTGAGGACCAGGATCTTGAGCGATGGGGAGCCAGTGGTGTCTGCTGTGGACCTTAAGGATCTGGTGTGTCATCACTTTGCGCACATCAGCTGTGTTTACCAACGATACGCGAGCCGTCGGACTTTCACGGTAAAAATCCTGCGAAGCCCTCTTTTGAGACGTTTAGGTGATGTGATAAATAACATAATCCCTGCGTTTAATTGTTATAATTATTATATTATATTCTATTCGCGGGTCTCGACGACCTGACAAGGAAAATTATTATTACGTGTAGCGCCGATGGCGTGGGCTGGCGGCGGCCAAAGGGATATCAGCCTCTCACTGAACTTTCAGGGTCTGGTGGAATAATAGCGGTGGCGGTGAACTTGTCAGTCGCACAATGAACATTTCCCCTTTAAGGAAATTCGTTAAAGGTTTCACCGACTCCTGGACTCTGCCCCAAAACCCACACACTCAACCTCACGCTCTCTCTCTCGCTCTCTCTCTCTCACACACACACACACGCGCACGCACACGCACGCACACGCTCACCCTCTCCCTCACGCTTCCCCAAACGTTCCACCCGCGCGCGCACCCCTCACAGTAATCAGATGCAAGGATTGCGTTATCCGGCGCCTTATCCACGTCCACTGGACGTCTCGAAAGACCTCACGGGATTTTTCGACCGTAAAGTCAATTGCAATAATAAAAGTGCAGTGAATTGTTACTGAAGCACCGACTTGGGCACTTGCAGCGGAAAGCAACAGCCGCGACCCGCGAACGGCCATGAGACGAACGAGCGATTTTACCTGGTGGGGATTGTCGGCCGGGACGCAGGAAGAGAAAACACCCTCCTCTTGTCCAATAGTGTTATGGGGGGGGGGTGCGGGGTGTTGGGTGGGGGGGGGGGGATCTTTAATGTTCACCTGAACGGGCACGGACCAGAACTCGGTTTAATATCTCACCCGAGGTGCCACCGGTCCCTCCGCACTTCGCTGGAGCGTCAGCTTACGGACTGAGGGCTCAAAGTCCCCGACATTGGGGCCCTCCGAACCTCCGTCTCAAAGGCGGGCGGGTGGGCGATTAAAAAAAAGAAAAGCCACAGAACCCACGGCTGTTCGCGGGGACGTGGCCGGGCGCACTCGCCCGCCCGCCCGCCCGCCCCGTTGCCCCCGCGAAGCGCACAGCCGCTCCGGTTTACGGTACAGCCTGAGACGGCTCGAAGACGCGATAAGGCGCTACGTCAAAAACGCGAGGATTATTATTATTATTATAAGTGACTCAACACCTTCACCTCCGCGTGCACAACCTCATTCCCCCCCTCACCCCCGCCCCCCCCCAACCACCCCACTTCATCAACCTCATCCTCCCCTCGCGTGCCCCTTTAATCCACGAGCGCCCGGCACTTTCCATCTTGCCTTGTGGTATCCCAGAGATATCTGTGTGTGTGTGTGTGTGTGAGTGTGTGAGTCTGTCTCTCACTCCATCTCTTCCGCCTCCTCCCACCAAATCCCGAGGGCCTCTCCACAACACCCTATCTGCGTCCGTTCAAAAAAAAAAACACTGCTCAAATCGGCAGCAGAATCAGGAGGGGAAGTGGAGTCCACACACACACACACAGAGAGAGAGAGAGAGATGATCCCTATCACCTCTTGAACGCCTCGAATAGAAGTAACGCTCAGGATTTATTTGTGTGCGTGTGTTCTTTTTAAAAAAAATAAAAAGGGAGTTCCTTTACAGCCTCGATTGCAAGTGACGTGAATGTGCAGTCTGCTGAAAAAAATCCCCTGCTCCCCCCACCCCTCTCTCTCTCTCTCTCTCTCTCTCTCGCTCGCTATCTCTCTCTCTCGTGTTGCCCCACGCGCGTCAAATTCACACTTTTCATGCCGTGTCCCGCGAAGCGCTTCGAGACCTCTCGGAAGTCTCAAGGAACGCGATGAGGCGCCGTACCAAGTGCATCAGCTAAACATTCTCACAATACCTCACAACAATCTATCCGGCAGACCGCCCGACCTGACCTACCTCCCTGTCCCGCCGCGGAGTCCTGCAGCATTTGTGGCGCGCACGCTCGCCTCGCTCGCCTCGCCTCGCAAGCGAGAGAACCTGGGTTCGATTCCCGGAAGGGGCAAAAATCATAGGCAGGTTTCCCCGACTGTGCGATCCCTCCGCCCGAGCCCAAAAAAAAAACCTCGGGTCGCTCGCTCGCTCAAAATTTTGGGGGCACTGCTGTGCGCGATGGGCTGCCGTGTTTCGCCCACAAACCACGCAGTCGACTCACTTCACAATGTATTCCACGAAGCGCTGTGAGACGAGGCGCTATGTCAAACGTAAGCCCTTCTCTCGCTCTCTCTCTCTGTCTGTCTGTCTGTCTCGTCCGGTTCCAGGGCTTGTGGGGGAAGGGGCAGCGGGGAAAGAAGAGTCAATTCAGAGCAGATATTTTTAAAAGTTAACTGGCTTTATTTCTGCATTCTGAAAGAAATAAAGAATGCAGAATGCAGAAATAAAGCCAGTTAACTTTTAATTGTCAGATTCCCTCCTTGTCAGATGTTACAACTCGTTGGCGACTTGACGCAATTGATTGAGAACCAGAATTTCTGGTTTAGCCGAAATCGACCCTGGGTGTGAATTTGGTTTCTCGGTTCACAGACTGACGTATATATATATATATATATATATATGTACATATGTGTATATATATATTTTGGGGGGTGTGTGTGAGAGAGAGAGAGAGAGAGAGAGAGGGAGAGAAAGAAAGAGAATAACATAAACAATTGCAAATATTACGTGGTAAAATTAATCCATATCTATGTATATATCAAATGCAAGGATTGTTATCATATATTATTATGTCTGTATAAATACTTGAATGCACGGAGGAAGGCGCGAGGAGTGGAAGAGAACAGAGCAGCGTTCCCGCCAGCGACCCGACTCCTGCTCTCTGCCCGGGGAAACGAACCGACCAGGAAGTTTTGATAGAAAACTCACCAACTCTGCGACCGTGTGGCTCCAGGTGAGGGCGAACACCGGTTAATCTGTATCCGCGGGCAAATCCGATCGACCCCGTCCCCCGTGACAAGCGTCCACGAGGAACCGCGCAACAGTGCTTTATTTTACCTTCCTGACAAGAGAGGAACACAGGTATATATATGTATACACACACACGCACGCACACATACACACAGGACAAAGCCAGACGCGAGCAAAAACACTCCCACAACCAATTCTCGGGCAATGGGCAAGTCACGTGCTGGAGAGCAGGTAACACACTTCAAAGCTTGCCAAGCAGACACTGTTAAAGGGGAAGCACACGCGCACACGCGCGCACACGCACGCACACGCGCGCAGAAACCGCCGGGCAGATTTTCCAACGCCGAGCCGCGTGCAATCGGCCGCCGCGTTTGGCCAACCCCGCGCGCGCGCGCGCGAAAAAACAAACAAAAAAAAAAACGCGCTCGGTTCCCCTTTGCGGCGCCGTTCCGAGCGAAGCGCTCCCGAGATGTTTCCGCCACGCGATAAGGCGCTGTGTCAAACGGAAAGGTATTTTCCTCCACCCCCTCAGGGCGCCTACGTCACCCCCCCCCACCCCCACCCGGCTCGACTCCGCAAACGCTCCGCCTTCCCGACCCCTCCCTCCACGGGCTGCGGATAATCCCGAACCCTGCAGCCCGTGTCCTCTCCCGCACCGAACTCCGTGACGCCATCTCCCCCACTCTCGCCCGACTCCACTGCCTCCCCGTCCTTCAGAGGATCCAGTTCAAGATCCTGGTCCTCGCCCACAAAGCCCTCCATGGCCCTCGCCCCCACCCTACCCCTGCCACCCCCTAACCCCCGTCAACCCGCCCGTTCCCTCCGCTCAGCCGGCTCCGGCTGCTCCGTGTCCCCCCGACCCACCCGTCCCACCATTGGCATTGGCGGGAGAGCCTTCAGCCACTCTGCCCCCGACCTCTGGAATTCCATCCCCCAGTCACTCCGCCTCGTCCCCTCCTTAGGCTCCGTCGAGTCCTGCCTCAAAACCCTCCTCTTCGACCGTGCCATCGGTCACCCCCTTCCCCTCCCCTCTCCCCCCCCCCCCCGAAATGCTGTACTCTGTCCAGCGCCTTGGGATGTCCTCCCGACGTGAAAGGTATTTTACGAATGTGATCTTATGGTTGTTTTATAGGGTACAGTATTATTATTATACATAATAAGATGGTTGACTGGTGGCACTCTCGCCTCTGAATCAGAGGGTTGTGGGTCCACGCCAGCGGGTTGAGCGACCAAACCATTATTTATTTGCTAAAAATGTCGTCGCTCACTCCGCGAGGCGTTTGTGGGGACGCCGCTGCGTGCCGTGGCCTCACCCGCAAAATACCCGGTCACTGCGCTTTACGGTATGTTCCGTGAAGTGCTTTTGAGACGTCTCACTGATCTGATATCAAACGCAAAGTGGTGTAAGCGCTATTCACGCCGAGGTGCGAATGAGCCTGGCGTGGTTAGTGTTAAGTGTTGGTGTTCATTCTCTCCCTCCCCCACCCCCCACACACACCCCCCAATTCCACAGCTCCAGGGGAGTTCATAAACTTGAAGTTCAATGGACAGAGTTTTACGGTCTTTAAACAGTTTGTTTAAACCCAACAGAACGAGGGTCAGAGTTTACAGGGTGAGGCGGTCGCTCCGGACACGCTCACCCGTGAGACAGTACCCTGCGCGAAAGGCGCTTGTATAAAATGCCAAGTTATTGTTGCTTTGCTTTACTCGAGTCTCTCGTGACGATGGGCCTGGTACTTCACTTGGTCAGCTGGGGGTCTTGACACACGTGGGAGCCGATCGCCTCGTGGAAGGGCTTCAAATACAACGTGCCACTCGCAGGTGGGAGTTTCCTCGCGTCAGGTTTTTTGCTACTCCTTCCTTCGCCGATCGCAAATGATTGCGATCCTTTCGCGGTTGACGCAGTCCTCGGGTCGTCGAGAGGCTCTCAAAGCGATTTGCTTCACTGCGCGTTCTGTGCAGTGAAGCCACTGTTGCGTCTTGCGGCCGAAACTGCAATCCAAATGAAGCGAAACTATAAATGAACCTGTAACCGAAAATGAAACGGGTGATTTTGACGGTACTGTGTGCAGTCGCGGTTGTACGGTGGTGGTGAGAGCACTCGCCTCGCAAGCAATTGGATCCAGGTTCGATTCCCGGCAAGTTTCCTCGTTCCCCTCACGCCTGTTTACATTGCAGTAAGTAGGAACCCGGTTGTTGGTCGATTGGCAAATTACTTTCCGGGGGTAATAATCCCTCTGCCTCACCCCCCCCCCACCACCCCAAAACAAAATGGTCACTCAATCCACGACTGCTATCCCCGTGTGCGCAATTGGCTGCCACGTTTCGCCCACGAAACACACAATCGATCCTCTTTACATTCTGTGAAGCGCTGTGAGACGTCGCGACGACGCGACGGGGCTCGACAGTAAATCAAGGTGGTTATCTTCACTCGCGACACGCGGGACAAGAACGACATACCAGCTGATGAGGTGTCTGCTCTGTTGCAGCCTGGATTGTGCCGACACATGCTGCAGCGTGTTTTGAGAGGCACGATACTGGGCGCAGCTACTTCCGGTGCTTCTTGCCTCTCTATCACCACACCGTCTGTCCTTAATAACAGTAATAAGCCTCGCATTTGATATGGCGCCTTATCACATCATTGAGACGTCTCAAAGCGCTTCACAGGATGTACAGTAAAGTGCGTTGACTGTATATTTTGGGGGTGAAACACAACAACCCACTGACTCGCTTAATAATAGACCCTTAATAATGATAATTACACCTGTTTTTGATACAGCACCTTGTCACGTAACACACGCCCAGCGCTGCTTCGGAGGGTCAGCTTAAGACCGTGTGATTCCATGTCCCGGTATGAAGGCTTGAACCCTGACTCGGAGGCGAGAGTTTTACTCTCTCCCCCCCCCCCAACCGGAGGGACGCACCTTCCTTCCTTCCTTCCCTAATTGAGGCTGACAGTGCCCACAGGTCAGGAGGGAATGACCATGTCTCACTAATCCCTTCCTCCTTGGTTGGGGGGTTAGCATTTTTGATTCAAACTGTCCACTCCCCACCTCACCTCACAAGTCCCCCCCACTTCCAGCCCCGTTATTCCACCCCTCCCCTCCTCAACCCCCTACAATCGCCAGTATCGCCAAGCGCTTTGACGCCTTCTCCCCGACGTGAAAAGGCGCGTTATGGAGGTGTACGTTCGCGGATCTGCAGCGGGAATCAGCAGCCGACTTTGGTGAAGTGAGTGGACCAGGTGGTGGCCTTCGGCGGAGCCGACACCGGACAAAGACGTCGCACGGTCACCGCTCTGAACGGCCTTCAAACCAAACGACTGGGAGTTCCGCACCGGAGGGACACCCTTCCCGTGTCTGGAATGGAATGGGATGTGCACACACTCTCCCCCCCCATTCACCCCCCCCCCCGCTCCCCGCTCCCTCCCCCCGGAATTCCAGAAACTATTAAGCGCGGGTTAGCGAGTGCGGGCGTCAGGGAGGGCGGTGTGGGGGGGGGTGGGGAGGTGTGGGGGGGGAGAATGGGAGGGGGAAGACGCGGATGCCAGGGTGACGGGGGATGTGGGGGTGGAGACGCAACGGGGAGGTGGGGGTGGGGCGGCGGACGGGAACGTGAGAGGAGTGCACGGAGCACGAGGGGGGGTGAGGGCTGGGGGGGAGGGGAGGGTGGGGGTGGGACTGGGGGGTTGGGGGCCTGAGTGGGGGGCTGAGGGGTGGGGGCGGAGGGGAGGGGGGGGCCTGGGGGGGGCTGAGGGGTGGGGGCTGAGGGGTGGGGGGGGAGGGGAGCGTGGGGGGGGTGAGGGATGGGGGCTGAGGGGTGGGGGGCCTGAGGGGGGGGGGGGGTGGGGGCTGAGGGATGGGGGCCTGGGGGGGGAGGGTGGGGGGGGCTGAGGGGTGGGGGTGGGGGGCCTGAGGGGGGAGGGAGAGGGTGGGGGAGTGTGGGGGGGGCTGAGGGGTGGGGGGCGGGTGAGGGGTGGTGGGGGCTGAGGCCTGGGGGTGGGGGAGGGGGAGGGTTCGAACAGCCGTTCAGGGTCAGACACACAGTCAGAGACGGGACCCAAACAAATACTCAGTCAGACAGACACCGGCGCACGTCACTGGGCGGGAAGACACGCACTTCCGGCGGTGCACCCGCTATCTCCTCCCCCCGAGCCCCGCCCCCCGAGCCCCGGAACTGCTGCTCTGACCCCGCGGAGGAGAGGGGGAGGGGTTTCGGTGCTGCGCACTTCCGGTGGAGTGAGATTACTGAGAGAGGTCAGTGAGAGAGAGAGAGAGTGAGGGGTTTAATACCCCGAACAGCGCTGTCACCCCCCAACTCCCCCCTGAACCCCCCAACTCCCCCCCAACTCCCCCCTGAACCCCCCAACTCCCCCCTGAACCCCCCAACTCCCCCCTGAACCCCCCAACTCCCCCCGAACTCCCCCCTGAACCCCCAACTCCCCCTGAATTCCCCAAATTCTTCCCTAAATCCCCCTGTTACCCCTGACCCCACCCCCTGACCCCACCCCTGACCCCACCCCAATTCTCCCTGTTACCCCCTAATTCTCCCCTAACTCCCCCCTTGAAACCCCCAACTCTCCCTAATTATCCCTGAACACCCCCCCCCCATCCCCCTGAAACCCATAACTATCCCTATTACCCCCTAATTCTCCCCCTAGCGCTCCCCTGGATACCCCCCCCCCAAAACCCCTAACCCTCTGTAATTCGCCCCCTCCCCCCCGTATCGGGTTTGATTCCCGGGTCGGGTTGGGGCGAAACCTCGGGCGAGTTTCCCTACTCCGCGCACACACAGACACACACACACACACACACAGGCGCCTCTGTCGACTGAGCAGTAAGTCGGAACCCGGTTGTTAGTCGATTGGCGGTTCGCTTTTCTGGGGGTAATAATCGCTTCAAAAACAATCACTCACTCACTCACTCAGTGTGTGTGTGCATAATGATTTGGTCACTCACCGCTAACTTGACTCCCTCGGCGAAGCGTCATCGCCATACACGGTTCTGGATTTCTTTCCTGACTGAACGAGATATTACGACTGTTGACAAGTGCGTAATCGGCTGCCCACAAAATACACAGTCACTCCACTGTGGAGTCCTGTGGCTCAGTGGTTAGAGCACTCGCTTTGCAAGTGAGATATCTGGGTTCAATTCCAGGCAGAGGGCGAAACCTCGGGCAAGTTTCCTTACTCCACACAGAGCCTAATAATAATCCCTTCAAAACCAAATTCACTTTACAGTGTGTTCTGTGAAGCGCTTTGGGACGTCCTCCCGACGTGAAAAGCGCTATATCAAATGCAAGGATTATTATTATTATTATTATTTACAGTGTGTATCCTGTGAGGCGCTTTGAGAGGTCTCGAGGGCGTGATCAGGCACTGTATCGAATGCCAGGATTATTTATACGTGAGGTGAATTAAAATACAGTGGACGAAATGACTGCCTGAATCAATGCAACTTTCTCCCTCCCCTGTTTTTCTCCCAATTCCTACAGGGATTCCTGCGCAATGACCCGGCACGGGAAGAACTGTACGGCCGGTGCGGTTTACACCTACTATGAGAAGAAGAAGGACACAGGTGCGAGAAAGAGAGCTTCTATCTTGGGATACAGTATATATTTATGTTTTACCTACCCTTCTATATCAGGGCATTTCACTCACATAGTACACAGTCAATTAACTTTACAGTATATTCTGTGAAGCGCTTTGAGACGTCACGACGACATGATCAGGCGCTGTATCAAACGCAAGGATTATTATTATTATTTCTATCCACGGATGAGCTGAGTTGCTTCTCTCTTCCAGCTGTCTCTGGATACGGCACACAGTCACTTCGCCTCAGCAAAGACGCCATCAAGGACTTCGACTGCTGCTGTCTGTCACTGCAGCCGTGCAAGAATCCCGTTGTGACGTGAGTCACTCTTAAAAATACTTCTCCTCTTTCCCACGTCGCTCCCCCCCCCCCCCCCACATCAACAACAACACTTGCAATTTATATAGCGCCCTTCGCTCGGGGTGAAATCCCCGGAACGCTTGTCAGAGGCGGAGTCCATGACTGTCGCGGGGAAGAGGGGAGAAATAAAGAAAAGGTTAACGGTCTGAGGTGACATTGTTTTTTCTTTCGTCCGTCTCCGTAGACCCGAAGGCTATTTGTACGAGAAAGAGGCAATTTTGGAATATATTTTGCACAAGAAAAACGAAATCATCAAGCAAGTGAAGGCAAGCGTTTTCAAAGTCTCCCCATCCTGCCCGCGCCTTTCCCTGCCCCCCCACCCCCCCCTTCTCTCCCCCCCCCCCCCACCCTCCGACTAATTACTCCGGAGGCACCTCAAAGCCCTTCATGGGACATACTGTGAAATGGAGCGACTGTGCGTATCTGTGGGCGAAACATAGCTGCACAATTGCGCACAGCACCGTGGGAAACCACACACAGTAACTTACAACAACAACAACAACTCACATTTATACACGGGGGCCCCCCGCGCAGTTTTACAGCGTCCCCAGAGCGCTTGAAGTTGGCGGAGCACTGTTTAACGTCCATCCGAACGACGGCGCCTGCAACAACGCGGCGATGATTGACAGCCTCTGTTGCCCTCTCTTCCAACCCAACTCTCCGCTTTTTTCCCCCTCCCGTCTCTCCCCCCCCCCCCACCCACCCACCCGGCGTGTGTGTTGCGTCAGGCTTACGAGAAGCAGAAGAACGTGAAGAAGACTGAGAAGGCGGAGTTGGCCAAGGCGGCGAAGGAGAGCAAGGTGGCGGCCTTCCTGGAGAAAGAATCGACCATCGTCAGCAAACCGCTGAATCCCTTCAGCAACAAAGCGGGTAAGAATCCCCCCCCCCCCCCCACTCCCCCCTGACCGTGAAGTGGCATACAATTGCGCGCAGCGACGTCCCACAAACAGCCGTGAAACGAGTGAGCGATTTTACTTTTCCTGTTCGATTTACCCCACTCCGACCCTCCCCCCCACCCCACACCCCTCCCCGCAGGTGAGCAACAGCCCGGCCCCAGCAAAGAGCCGCCCGCAGCAGTCAAGCCCAGGTCTCTGCCCAGTTTCTGGGTTCCCTCCCTCACCCCGGAGGCCAAGGCAGCCGACATCAAAAAACCCGTAAGCAACAAAATCGTAAATCGTGACAATAATGATGGTGTCAATAAGAGCAATTTATAATAATGGCAACAGTAATGGTACTAACGATTAATAATAGTAATTATTATTAACCATAGTCATTGTTAAGCCCATGCTCGGGGCCCCCCGACAGCTGACCGTTCAGCGCTTTGGGACGTCCTCCCGACGTGAAAGGCGCTCTATAAGCGTCATTTTGTTGTGGTGGTGGTTGTTATTAATAAGAATAATTATAACAAGTTAATAATAGTAATTATTAATAATGATGGCGATAATGATGATTAGTAAATACTAAAGTAATACTACGGATAAATAATAATCCTTGCACTTGATCAAGCGCCCTAGCACGTTGTTTCGACTTCTCAAAGCGCTTCACAGGATACTCTGTAAAGCGCAGTGACTGTGTATTTTGTGGGCGAAACACGGCAGCCACGTCCCACAAACAGGGCCAGGGGAACTTTAACGTCCACCTGAACAGGCAGATGAGGAGTGAAGTTTACCGTCTAATCCAAAGGACGGCACCTCCGACAATGCAGCACCTCCCCCAGCGCTGCTTGTGCTCTCAGCTGGTGGGGGTTCGAACCCACAACCTTCTGCCTGAGCGCTACCGACTGCGCCGGGCTGACAGGCGTAGGAAACTAGGAGCAGGACGAAAGGCATCGTGTCTCCGGCTGACACTGTCTGTCCCTGGCTCTGTGTGTGTGTAGAGTTCCCGTGTGTAGGGTTCCTATATAAATGCCGTTGGCTTGACGTGTCTCTCGCAGGACAAGACCGTCTACTGCCCGATGAGCGGGAAGCCCCTGAGGATGAAGGACCTGATCGCAGTCAGGTTCACGCCGGTGGATGAAAAGCTCGAGCGGATCCAGTTGATCACGAAACAGGAGCGTTACGTGTGTGCGGTCACCAGGGACGTCCTGGGCAATTCCCTGCCCTGTGCTGTGCTCCGACCCTCGTGAGTCCAGCCTTTTGAGTTATTCTTTATTCTCACCTTTATTCTCACCGAATCGCCTCGTGTTAATAATAATAACAATTATAATAATCCTCGCCTTGACGTCTGCCTCTGCGCCCTGCTCCCTCCTTGGCTAAGCATCTGTGCAGAGTTGCGCCGCTGAAAGGGGAAACTGTCCCCGGGCTGGAAGGATATCTCGGTCTCTCGGTCAAGGGGGCGGGGGTTGGGGAGGGAGGGGTTGTGGTTGCTGTTGCTCTGGCTCCCTGAAGCTGTGACTGGACCTGACCAGGCTGTTGTCTGGTTTACAGAGGGGCTGTGGTCACCATGGACTGTGTGGAGAGGCTGATCAAACCTGACATGCTGGATCCTATCACTGAGCAGAGGCTGACCGAGAAAGACATCATCCAACTGCAGAGGGTGAGAGACCATCAGTGTGTGTGTGTGTGTGTATATCCGTGTGTCCTTGTGTGTCTCTGTGTACGTGTGCGTATGTATCATTGTGTGTGTGCGTGTGGACTTGATTCCGACATTCCATTGCCAAGCACATTATCTCGGAGCCAGTTCAGCTCCGTGGAGACCCCCCGCTTCCCTGCCCGCACCCACCCCACGGAGGAGAGTCACTAACTCGTTGGTCGGGTGGGTGGTGGGGGGTGTGTGGTAGGGAGCAACAAATTAAGGAAAGCGAGTGACATGATTCGGATGTGCTGTGTTGCTTGGGAGTGGGGGTGGGTGGGGGTGGGGGGGGGGAGGGTGGTGGGGGGGTGGGGGAATTGAGGCTGCCATGATTTCAGACCGAACAATGTGCTGATGGCGCGCAGGGCGGAACTGGATTTGCGGGATCCGGAGTGAAACTGGAAGCAAAGGAATCGAGACCCGTGATGCAAGCGTGACGGACACCCCTCGTCACCCCCACTCGTGGCTGCGGAAACCTGTCCCTGTGGTCAAGGTGGGATAAAGTTTGTTCATATTCTGTCTCCCCCCCCCCCCCCCCATGCATTTGATATGATACTGCCTCCTTTTTAGTTGTAAATATCTGTGTGTTTAATAAACGGATCGCTTTCTGACATCTTCTACTGCTGTTGAAATAATCCTTGGATTTGACACGGCGCCTTATCACGCCTTCCAGAAGTTTCAAAGCGCTTCACAGGACACGCCGCAAAGCGAAGTGACTGGTGTATTTTGTGGGCAAAACGCGGCAGCCGTGGATTGAATGACTAAATTATTATTTTCTTAAGGTACCATTACCCCCTAGAAAAGCGACCCACCAATCGACTAACAACCGGGTTCCTACTAACTACTTGGTAAACAGAGGCACGTGTGTGGAGTAAGAAAACTTGCCTAACATTTTGCCCGGGAATCGAACCCGGGTCCTCTCGCTTGCGAGATGGTACGGGGTACGCCACGATTCCACGAACTAATCGGATCTGCAGAGGTGAGACATGACGCCGTTAATTTATCCTTTTAATACAAAGTTTTTTTTTATTATCAAATGAGCTTGATTGTTGCAGGCACAAAGACTGAGCTTATGGGCAATAAGTGGTCACAGACCCACAGACTCTTCTATCCGTTTCACAAGGTACGCAGTTTAGCAACAGAATTCAACCCAGCAGCAATGAACAGGGGGAATACATACGCATGATAGAACTCTTTTGTTTCACTTATAGCCCCAACGTTCTCAACCACACTCTCAGTTCAACTGCAGCGTGGGTTAGAGGCAGAGCAAAGCTCAATCTACCACCATGCGTTCACACTCCCAGGTCCAGGTGAGAGACAGAGTAAAGCTCCCTCTACATTGTGGGCTCGGAGGCCTTTGCAATCCTTCTGGGCTGATTCTTGAGGTAAGAGCACTATGCTTCCCTTTCCCTTTGCATCCCCTTGTTCGTTCACTGCCATCACCGTCCCTGATATTGAATCCAGATAGAGATCGTGTGTGTGAACGCAAAAAGGCACCTGGGTTGAATGCAAGCCTGACTATTGCACATTTAATCCTGCTCTGGATTGCCTGACAGATAGCGACAGCTGAGTGAGTGAGAGAGATGTCTCTCTCTTGCTCTCTCTCTAACCCTCTTGCTTTACGGAGGCATTGTAAAACACTGAGGGGTTGCACTGGAAAAATTATCTACCAATTCCCTCCCTCCCGCACACAAAAGAGTTGTCCAGCTCCTTTGCCCTTGAAAGTAGGGACCTTTCCACAACTTGCCCCGATATGACGCAAGAGCATTAACAGTGAGCATCAGCGGAGGGAATCAAAAGTCTAACTTGCCTACTTCGGGGGCCGGTGTGATGGGGTGGAGGGGGGAGAGGTAGGTGGGGGTTATTGCCGGCAGTGCGAGCAGGGCGTGGGGAGGTGGGAACCCAGCGAGTGAGCGAGCACGTGTGCTAAAACTCGTCGTGCGCGACCATCAGTTCTCCGAAATCGGTCAGTGAGCTGCTCGCAAACTTGGTGTAATTCTCCAAGAATTCCTCTTTATTGAGCTGCCCGTCCTGAGGGCGAGAGAGAAGGAGGGAGGGAGAGAGAGGAGTGAGAGAGAGAGAGAGAGAGAGAGTCGGGGTTCAGGTTAGAGAGAGGACAGGCCAGCTGCCCCCCCCCCCAAACACCAAACCCCACCCACTCTCCCACGATCGAGGCTAAACAGGTGCGTGGTTTGTTTTCAGGACAAACACTAAAGGCTTAAAGCCCTGGGAGGTGTAAGTACACTTTGCCCACAAAACACACAGTCACTCCACTTTATGCTGTGAAGGGCTTTGAGACGTCTCGACCAAGTGATAAGGCGCTGTATCAAATGCAAGGATTATTATTACTATTATTATTACTGAATTGACTGCGTGTTTTGTGGGCGAAACCCGGCAGCCAACAGCGACAGTCGTGGATTGAGTGACTTTTTTGTATAACAACAAGATTACATTTGTATAGCGCCTTTCACGTCGGGAGAATTATTATAATAAAGGGATTATTAACCTCTGAAAAGCGATCCCCCAATCGACTAACAAGCGGGTTCCTTGTTAGGTAAACAGAGGGGTGCCCGGGTATTGAACCCGGGTCCTCTGGCTTGCGAGTCGAACGCTCTTACCACTACGCCACGGGAAGTTCCACGCGTGACATTTGTCACGCCGTAAAGTGGAGTGACTTGTGCGTTTTGCGGTCGAAACGCGGCAGCCAGTTGCGCACGGCGGCGGATTACAGCGGGGAGTGGGTTCTCACGATGGGGTTCCTCTTAGCAAAGCGTGGCTCAGTGCTTTGCTGCGGCTTCTCCCAGGGTGGTCCCAGGTCGGCAAGACCCTCCCTCTCCCCCCTCTCCCCCCACCCCGGGGCTCCTAGACCCCGATGCAAGGTACAAAGCCTTCGCACGTCGGAGGCAAGAGGCAGTGAGTGAGTGTGCGCACACGTTCAATCTGTGGTTGTTTCCCTGTGTAACTCCTGTCCTTTCACTTAATATTAAAATCAAGACAAACCCCGACTTAGAATCTGATGACCAGTCGCTAAAGTGAATCAAAAGAGGACTGGGTTTCTGTCAATCTCTCTCTCCCTCTCTCCCATTCCCCCCCCCCCCTCTCTCGCTCTCTCTCTCATCCGGCCCTCGCAAGAAGAACAGCAAGAAAACACTCGGGTTTAACCCAGAGCTGCTGATGCTGTTGCTGCGCAGACATGTTACTCGGCTTTGAGCTGCTCTCACTCACTCTCTCACTGTAACACAGATGTGCAGCAACTCCTGCGAGCTTGTACTCATGGCTCTCTCTCTCTCTCTCTCTCCCTCAATATATCCCTCCCTCCCACCCTCTCTCCTTCCTTCCCTCCCTCTCTTCTTCCATCCCTCTCCTTCCTTCTCTTGCTCCCCTCTTTCTCGCACTCCCTCCACCGCCCTCCCATCTCTCCCTCCCTCTCCCCTCTCCCTATCTCCCATCTCTCTCCCTCTACCTACCTACCTCCCTCCCACTCCCTCTTCCCCTCCCTCCCACTGCCTCTCCCCCTCCCTTCCTCGCAGAAAAAATAGAATCATCCAAAGCTTAAAATAAATCCCTAAAACGAATCACAACCACCCCCCGCCCCCCCCCCCCCCCACAAACGCAGGCCCCCACGAGAGTCAAGAGATGCAACATGCAATTTCTCCGCACGTCTCCCAGAAACTCAGGTCTTGACGTGATCGAGTAAAGTTTCTCTCCTGGTTTTTGAAGAGATAATTCGACCGAAACAGCCGATCACGTCAAGACCCATCGCTCTGAGACGTCGTGGCAGGTTTTGAGGACTGAGGTACCCGCTCGGAATTTAGAAAACAAATTAGAAGAATCGGGTTACGGTGCGAAAATAACTCCCCCCCCCCCCCCCCCCACACCCCACCCCCCCTCCCCTCCCCACCCCGATCGAAAATTTTCTACCAAATCGTGATTCGGGATCTGCATGGTGTGTGTTTTCCGTGTTTAACGTGCATTGCGTGTGTGCTTAGCGTGTGTTCAGTATGTGTGTGGTGTGCACTTTGTGTGTGTGTGAGTGCGCACTGTGTGTGTGTGTGTGTGTGTACACACTGGAATATTTTCCCCATGACCTATGCTCTCCCCCCTCCCGTCCACACGGACTGTCAGACACTGTGACCCACACCCCACTGTATGTGTGTGTGAGTGTGTGTGTGTGTATGTATGTGTGGGGGGGAAGGGGGGGGGAAAAGGGAAGGACACATCTATCTGTACCCCAATCCTCAAAACAAAAATCGATTGATCTAAAATAAATACAATTAAAGTCATGATCACAATTAAGATAAAAGCGAATCATCCGTGATTTGTCGAGATTGGGGTCGGAGGATTCCTCGGTGATTTGGCGGAATTCGGGTGATTTTTGTCAGATTGCGGGTGATTTGGGCAAATTCGGGTGGATTCGGACGATTCGAGAATCACAGCTCGTCGTGTTTCCTGGTGAGATCTTCCCCGTAGTTGGTGACCTGGCTCCCCACAAACATACTCCAGTTCTCTAATATCTCAGCTTTCGTCATTTTGTTATCCTGTAATCACACACACACAGACACACATAGACGGACAGACACACACACACACACACGCACACAGACGCAGGTACACACACACATAGAGTGAGAGACACAGCATGAGCGAGGCGGAGAGCTACACACGCGCGTGCGCGCGCGCACTCGCTCGCAGCAATGTTAAACCAGCTGCTTTACGGTTTTCCTGCAAATCTCCCGCTGGGGATTAACGGGTTAAACCGGACAGCCGCCTGAACTAACAGAGGAGATAGTGCGGGATAAAGAGAGAGAGAGAGAGAGAGGGACACATACACACACACACACACACAGAATGAGACGCACACACACAGATTGAGACACACACACACAGAATGACAGAGAAAGACACACACAGAGGAGAGGAAGACAGACGGACAGACAGACAGACACACAGATGAGCACAGAATGAGAAAGACCGAGAGAGAATAATCCTCGGTTTGATAATAGCGCCTCATCATGTCGTCGAGTCGTCTCAAAGCGCTTCGCGGGGCTGCGTGGCTGTAAAGTGGAGTGACTGTATACTTTTGGGGCGCAACGCGGCAGCCAATTGCGCACAGCGGCGTCCCCAGAAACAGTCGAAGACGTGATGAGGCGCTGTGTCAAATCCAAGAACGATTAGGATTGTAAATAGACCAGTGGGAGTCTGACAGACACAGAAACCTCCGCTGCGTGTAAGTCCCTCAAGTCCTGAGCGCGTTCCTGACCTTGTTCATGTCCGACTCGTAGATTAGATGTCGAGATTCTGACTCCGCGTGATCGTATTCCCCCGGGAGGATCCACTGCGTGACCTCCTGCCTGTCCAGCTTCCCGTCCTTATTCGTATCCCGGATCTCCCGGAATTGCTGGCGTTCCGTCTTCACCCATTCCGGCTCCGGCTCCTCAGCCTCGGGATTGTACATGTCGTCTGTCGGGAAGAGAACAGGACAGAAATCGGACACAGCGGCAGCCACAGCTTTACTGCGCCTCTCGCCCTGACCTGGGAGTGTGGACGGACGAGATGGCCGGAGCAGTAAAGAAATATTTGATGAGAGAGAGAGATACATTCATTAACTCACAGATAAATTCATCCATATCCACAAAACCATCGCCATTCCTATCGATGTCCTCCATGGTTTCCTGTGGATAGAGACGGGATTAGAACCAGTACAAGGTTCCTATTAGTTACAGTCTACCCCTCTCCCCAAAGCCCACGATTGTGTGTGTGTGTGTGTGTGTGAGATAGATTCACCCCTTCAACCACCGACAACCCGTCTCAAACACAGTTACCTTTTTGCCTGCGCTGTGGCCCGTTATATTCATCATAATAATCCTGGCATTCGATACGGCGCCTTATCACGCTGTTGAGACGTCTCAAAGCGCCCCACGGGATATCTTGCAAAGTGCAGTGACTTGTGTATGTCGTGGGTGAAACTCGGCAGCACCGGAGCGACCCCTCAAACGTTTAACGGTGGATCGAGGGACCGAGTTCTTATTTTTTTGGAAGGATTATTACACCCGGAAAGCGATCCGCCAATTGACTTAACAACCGAGGTCCTACTTCCTGCTGCGTACACAGAGCCGTGTGTGTGTGTGTGTGTGGAGTAAGGAAACTTGCCTAAGGTTTTGCCCTGCCCGGCCGGGAATGGAATCGAACCCGGATCCTCTCTCTTTCGCGCGCTCTAACCACTACGCTAAGGGGCTTTGAACCCACACCCTTTCCGACTTGAGAGGTGAGAGCGCGCCGGGGTCGACGGGAGATTGCGCGGTGAGCTTTGGCCACCGACCGACCGTAACAATGACGTCCTTCATGTAGTCAAACTCCTCCGGGTGCAGGAAAGCGGTGAACTCCTCCCGGGTAGCGATCAGATCGCCGTCCTTGTCCGCCATCTTGAACCTGCGCTCGTCACGGGACTGCATCTTTACGTAGCTGGCCTTGTCGTCCACGTCGTTGAACTCCTCGTTCTCTGCAAACGCAAACGCAAACGCTCCCTGTGACGTCGTGGCCCTATTGCCGGAGCGCCCCGGAGCCCCATCCTTTTATGCGTCACACCCCATCACCGCACCGAAGAGTCTCCAAACCAAGACGTTGACCGGGAATTCCGTGCCTCCCTTCGGACATCCCAGAGATGACGATGGTATTGTAGTAAATACTAATGAATAACCCTTGCATCGGATACCGCGCCTTACCGCGTCTCAAGGCGCTTCGCGGAACATACCGTAGAGTGTAGTGACTGTGTGTTGGGCACAGCAACAGCAGCGGCACGATCACATTGCTCTCGCGCCTTCTCACGTCGGGAGGACGTCCCGCAAACAAACCGTCGCGGATTGAGCGGCCAAACTATCACCGGGTTCCTACTCGGCCCCGAGTCAGCGGGCGCGTGGGTTGGAGTGAGGAAACTCGCCCGAGGTTGCGCCCCGCCCCGGGCATCGGACCCAGGACCCCGCAAGCCCTCCGCCTCGGAGGCCAGAGATCTCGCGACCGAGCCCCACCCGTCTACGTCGGTCGCAACGAATGTCATCGATCGAATGGGTGGGAGGGTGGGGGGCGGCTGATCGGTTGCGCTATACCACTATCGGCCACGGGAGGACGACATTATCAGCCCCCAACCCCCCCCCATCCCCTCCCCAAGTGGCTGTTTCTGGCCACTGCAAGAGGTGAAACCGATTGATTTGGGGGAAAAAACATGTGGATTCTTAAACTGCGGCTTTTAAGTGTGAAATTTCGCAACAGCTCAAACGGTTATCACGAGGGGGCGTCAACCGCAAGATTTGTGCAACGAATGCTCCCCCTTCTCGCTCACAGTTTGGCCGTGGGGGGCCGGGGGCGGCGGGTGGGGGGGGTGGGTGGGGAGGGAGGTGTTGAATGTTTCTCCGGTGCAGGGGAGTGAGGCCAGTGTGTAGTTTCGCTCGAGTTAATTAATAACCCTCGCATTCGATACAGCGCCTTATCAATGTGGCTGCGCCGTCTCAAAGCGCTTCACGGGATACCCTGTAAGGAAGAGTGACCGTCTATTTGCGGGCGAAAGGCCGGAGCTGTCCCACAAACAGTCGTGGATCGATTGATCCAATTAGTATTAGTATTCTTATAATGTAATGTAATGCAATGAATTGAATGCAACATAATGAGTAAAATATAATGAGAACAACAACTTGCTACCACTCTGGGTGGGGTGGGGGGGGGGGCGCTGTGTAAATGCACGTTGTTGTTGATGTTGGTTGCCCGCTGCTCTCTGGGGACTTACCCTTATAGTAACCGTACGTGGTGTTCTTGTATTCCTCCCACGACACTTTGTCGTCTTTGTTCAGGTCGTATTCCTTCCAGTGCTTCTTCACGTTCTCGTCAATGAAACGGTTCTGCGTCCGCTTGATCCACTCCACCAGCTCCTCGTGGGTCACAAACCCGTCCTTGTTCTTGTCGATCCGGTCCACGATCTTCCTGAGAGAGCAGAGCCAGAGGAGGGGGTGAGAGAGGAGAGGCGGGAGAGAGCGAGAGCAGAGTACGGAGAGGGTGAGAGTGAGTGAGAGAGAGGGTGAGAGTGAGCGTGAGTGAGAAAATGGTGAGCAGGGAAAGGGGCAGAGGGTGAGAGAAAAGGTGAGAGTAGGAGAGGGTGGGAGGGGGGGAGTGAGAAGGTGAGAGCGTGTTTGTGGGATCACTGCGGCGTGCAATTAATTGGCTGTCGCGTTCCGCCCACAAACACGCACAGTCGCTCCACCTTACAGTATATTCTGCGAAGCGCTGTTGAGGTGTTGAGGATGGGACGGTAGTCGCACGCGACAGACTCCAGGTCCAGTCTCCCGTGAAAGGGAAAGACAATTTTTACAAAAATTGCTCATTAAGAGTTCCCTTCCCATTCCATTTAGAGACACAAGAACATGAGAACTTGCTCGATAAAAGGAGACCAAGGTCCACCCAGTTCGCCTTCCGCCCTCCTGGCAGTTGCTTGACATGTCGCGTCCCAGACTAGACACCGTTATTCCCCGAGATATTATTTCCTCAAAGAAACCTATCTGATTTAACTGGTCTCCACTGTTTAAACCAGATGTTAAACCGGGAAAAGTAAAGCGCCCTCCAAAACCCTTGACGCTAAATAAGGGTAACTTTTGAAAGGAAATAATAATAGTCGTTGCAGTTAACGTTACTCTTGTCGCCTACTCTATCTGTGCAGATCTCTCGTTGGGCAGTTAACTGTTACTTGTCTGTTTCTCTCACTCGCCACGTGTACAGATCAGCCACAAGGTTCTCATTTCAACCACATCGGGAGAGGAGGGGAGGTGGTGGGGGGGGGGGGGGAGTGGGATGTGTTGCCAGCTCAGCAAACAGAGCGAGAGAGAGAGAGAGAGTGAGAGAGCAATGTAGGGATGAGCAAGGGAGAAAAAACAATCTCGCAGTTTCTGCTGCGTTACAATTGCTAAACAAGTGGAGAGTGGCCCTTTTACGGCGACAAGTGACATTTACACAGCGTCTTTCACGTCGGGAGGACCTCCCAAGGCGCTGGACAGTCAAAGATTTGGACCTTAACCCATTCCACCCTTGCATTTGATAACAACCCCTCTCTCCCTCAACACTCACTCACTCTCACTCAGTCACCTCCCTCCTCTCTCTCACTCCCCCCCTCTCTCTCTCTCTCTCTCAAATAATCCATGACTGCCCACAAAATACAGTCAACTCACTTTTACAGTGTATCCTGTGAAGCGCTTTGAGACGTCTCAAGGACGCTGTATCAAATGCAAGCATTATCATTAGTAGTGATAATAGTAGTCCTTGCATTTGATAGATGAATATCTTATATTTTAGTCTATATTATTAATAGTAGTAGTGTCAGAGTTACGGGAGTGAGTGTTAGTGTCACAATTACCCCAGCCTCTTTTTGCTCTCCTCTGTGGACAACGTATCGAAGGTTTCGGCCGTCTCTTTGCCCAGGAAGGCTTCGTGGTCGTACTGAAATCCCTCCGTTTCCTCGGGGTGTCTCTCCTCCAGGTCCTTGGCGTGATGAACCCGGTCTTTCTTCTCCGAGGTGGGTTTGCCAGTGACCGCGAGCCAGGCACAGAGAGACAGCAGGCAGAGCGAGGTCAACAGCTTCATGGCTGGAAAATTAACAAGACCCTGTGCGGGGCGAGAATAACGACGACAACAAGAACAAGTTACACTCAACACAGCGACTTTCATGTTGGCAATAAAAAAAAATATCCCGAGGATATCCCAAGGCCCCGGACGGTAAGGGATTTGGAAATAACACCTGATCGGCGTTAAGCATCAAACTGAAGTTGACCAAACGTGCCCACGACGCGCGCCACCAGCGGAGATCATTTGAGCCACACCTCGGAAGCTTTTAACGCGAGGGTTTCAAGCAAATCTAGCGGCTACATCTGGAGCTTTACTCTGATCAGTCACAGCAGACGGGCAATCAAAGGTACCTTTAAATCTTTAAAGCCGAGCAAGCGAGACGGACAGAGAGAGAGAGCGAGAGAGAGAGAGAGAGAGAGAGAGAGAGACGCGCACACTGAATGCCAGTGGCTTTGAGTGTGGGTCTGTGTCAGTCAGTCTGTCGGTTAGTCGAACCTGGCTCGGTTTAGAGAGAAACGTGGCGTTAACACTGTTGGGAGGAGTTTGAGGGATGTCTCAACCACAGCTTTTCTCCTCGATGTTGCAAGGCTCGCTGTGTGTTTTTTTTATTTTGTGGCTTTTTAAAACTGCCTTCGGCTGCCATGTCTCGCCAACAAAACACACAGTCAGTTTGCTTTACAGTTCATCCTAGGAAGCGCTTTGAGACATCTCAACGATGTGCTGGTGACATTTACTACCCTTGCATTTGATATAGTGCTCGAAGGCGCTGTATCAAATGCAAGGATTATTACTAATGTTATTATTTAACCTTTTGAGAAATCAGCCGCTGTACAAAAAAATTCTGCCCAAACCTCAACTGCAACCAAAGAGTCGTTAACAACAATAATAAAATAATAACAATAATCCTTGCATTTGATATAGCGCTTTTCACGTCGGGAGGACGTCCCAAAGCGCTTCACAGAATATACTGTAAAGTGAATTGACTGTATATTCGTGGGCGAACGCGGCGGCCGATTGCGCACAGCGATGTCTCACAAACAGTCGTAGGGTAAGTGACTAGTTATCCAGAGTGGCGAGTCAGGCATACGTGTGACACACGCACAAAAGTAAGTGGAATATTGATGGCATTGCGACTTAAGTGGTCAGTGATAAGTTTAAGTCAAGGTTGAGTTATCAGCATTTCTCTCTCTCTGCTTCCTGAAAATTGTTAATTATTAGAAATTTTTTCAGGGCGGTTCTGTGGTTATGTTTCCCGGACTGAATCACTCACGGGAGGAAATTAAACTCGTCCCCAAACGAGGGAACAGCCTTATTTCAACCTTCAGAATCCGTCCCACGCGAGAACACAGTGTTTCCTCGGGGTGGGGAGGGGGAAAAAAAGGAAAACGTTTAAGTTTTAACACTCATAATATTGTTGTCCTTCCATCCTTTCATCGAGGTAAACGATCAACATTTGTGGGCGAACCATCAACAGTCTTTTGAATGTTTAAACAAATCACAGTAACCTTTGTTTTATTATATATATATATATATATTTATATAATAAAAAAAACACAATGTGGAAAACTCCCCAAACAAAATTCCTCAAATGTTACCAAACTGCTCTGTGGCCCCACGCAAAAAGTTTCTTCTCTTTTTGTGCGCGGGGGGTGGTGGTGGTGGGTGGGGGGGGTGGTGGGGGGCGGGAAAGCGGTCGCTCACACATATATTTAAACGGATCGACGAGATCACCGTTAGCATTTGAGGTGATCGATTGACACGGTTTGCGGAGCGCGCGACTGTCCGCCTCCTTTCGCCCGCAAAACGCACAACCGATTGGCTTTACGGTACAATACAATACAATAATATAGTAATAATATAGTAACAATAATCCTAGCGCTCTCTCTCTCTCTCTATATATATATGTAGATATATCCTGTGAAGCGCTTTGAGACGTCTCAACGACGCGATAAGGCTCTGCATTCAAAGGCAGGGACCGTGATTATTAAATAACAAAATGCACAATCAATTCGCTTTACGGTACAATACAATAATATAGTAATAATATAGTAACAATAATCCTAGCGCTCTCTCTCTCTCTATATAGATATATCCTGTGAAGCGCTTTGAGACGTCTCAACGAAGCGATAAGGCTCTACATTTCCATTAAATAACAATTATGAAGAATATCTATATATATATATCTATATATATAATCTCTATGTACACATTTAAAGTTGCTATTGACCCACTGAAACGATTAATGATCACACGTGTGAACAGAAGCAGCTCATCAACTGGATCCTGTGGTGTTCGGTCGAAGGCAATAAAAGATATAGGTCGTTATCTTGAGAAATAAATCGATAAATCACTCACTCACTCACTCACCATCAAAAAAAAAAGTTGCTCGAGATTTGTGAATGGGGGTCAGCGGTTGTGACAGTCACTGTATCGCTCTGTGGCCGATCCACCCACGTCACTCGGTTTGTTTTAAAAAAAAGAGGCGGGAAAGGTCACGCCCGTTCAAACCCGCCAATCGCGAGCCCGCTTTCATCCGCGGCCGACCGCCGCCCGGCTGCAACGAGCGCTCCGATTGGTCCTGGGCGGGCTGTGGCGCTCTCCCATTGGCACCCGAGCGCCACGTTGACAGGACGCGGCGGGGCGGGGCCACTGGAGGGTGGGGGAGAGTGCGCCTGCGCGCAGCGAGAGGCTGGGCGAGGGCTGGCAGTCTTGACGCGTGACGTCGACGGAGGCGTGCGTCCCTGATTGACAGCCGGCGCGCCCAATGGGAGTCGCGGTGCCGCGTCGATGACGTCGGCGGCCGCGCGTGGGACGGTGGCGCTGGTGCTGGTGGGCGGGGGCGGGGGGGGGAAGGGGGCGGCACCCTGTCTGTCGACCAATCAGAGGCCGGCGGCGGGCGCGCTGATTGGCTGCCCGGGGTTTGGGCGGGAAAGGGCTGGGGCCGGCGCGAGGGCTGCTGTCCGCCCGGAGCCTCGGCAGCGCGCGCGGCCCCGGAGAGGGCGTCGAGCGTCGCCTGGATGAGGCGTTTCTTCGGAGCTTTCTGCTAGGCCGTACCCCCCCCCCCCCCACACACACAGACACCCCCACACACAGACACCCCCACACACAGACACCCTCCCCCCCCCCCACACACACACCCCACACACCCCACAGACACCTCCCTCCCCCACACACCCCCACAGACACCCCCACACACACCCACAGACACCCCTCCCCCCACACAGACACCCTCCCCACAGACACCCCTCCCCCCCACACACCCCACAGACACCCCCTCCCCCCCACACAGACACCCTCCCCACAGACACCCCCCCCCCCACACACCCCCACAGACACCCCCTCCCCCCACACACCCCCACAGACACCCCCTCCCCCCCACACACCCCCACAGACACCCCCTCCCCCCACACAGACACCCTCCCCCACAGACACCCCTCCCCCACAGACACCCCACAGACACCCCTCCCCCCCACACAGACACCCTCCCTCCCCCCACACACACACATCCCCCCACACACCCTCACACCCCCCCACAGACACCCTCCCTCCCCCCCACACCCCACAGACACCCTCCCCCCACACACTCCCCCACAGACACTCCCTCCCCCCTCACACACACCCACAGACACCCCCACACACCCCCACACACACCCACAGACACCCCCCCCCCCCCTCAGCTGACCGAGGCCTGGAGGTGAGGGAGGGAGAGGCTGTGGCACCTCGAGGGCCTTTTGCGCCATCACAATCTTTACATTCGACGCAGCGCCGTATCCCGTCGTCGAGACGTTCTCGTGGCGCTTCGGGCAGGCGGCGGGGGGGGGGGGAGTGTAGTGACTGTGTGTGTGTCTGTCTGTGTGTGTCGGTGTGTGTGTCTGTCTCTGTGTGTGTCTCTGTGTGTGTGTGTGTCTGTCTCTGTGTCTGTCTCTCTGTGTGTCTCTGTGTCTCTGTGTGTGTGTCTGTCTCTGTGTGTCTTTGTGTGTGTCTGTCTGTCTGTGTGTGTGTGTCTGTGTCTCTGTGTGTGTCTGTCTCTGTGTGTGTCTGTGTGTCTGTCTCTGTGTGTGTCTGTCTCTGTGTGTGTCTGTCTGTGTGTCTCTGTGTGTCTGTGTGTGTGATTTGTGTTTTGTGTGTGATTTATATTCGCTTGTGAGGTGAATTATATACTGTATATACACTGCCTTTATAAATATATATATGTGTGTGTGTGTGTTGGGTGAATTTTATATAATAATTCTTGCATTCGATATCATGCCTTATAATGTTGTTGAGACGTTTCAAAATGCTTTACAGAATATACTGTGTATTGTGGGTGAAACGTGAATTATATACAATTGTGTGTGTATATATATACACACACACACCCACACACGCGCGGGACAAGTCTCGCAGACTTGCTCCTTTTTTTGGGGGGGGGAAAAAGTCAAATGTTACCATAATTTTAGGAAAGGGAGAAGGGAATAGAAGGCTATAGGGGAAGAAATGAGGAGCAGGAGAGGCTTATGTAGAGTTTAAACCCTGACTTGGCCTATTTGAGCCGTAAAAGTCGATGTACCTGACGTGAAAGGCACTATACAAATGTAATTTTGTTGTTGTTGTTGTGATTCTGTGTGTTGTTTTGCCCCCAGAATCCAATCCCCCTACACTTTCAAGCTTGATAGATTTTATTGAGCTGTAGGAATCTTTAACGCCTGTCTGATGTGTATATTTGACGTAAGTGCGCTTAACGTCTCTCGTTTGTTTTGTTTTTATCGGGAGTGTGTGTTTCCTTTGCAAACAATAGATGAAGCCAACGGAGGGAGACGAGACACCGCTGAGGATAAATGCGTTCACCGTCATTCCAAAACAGAAATATCGAAGAAGTTGCAGGCATCTGCCACCCAAGAAAGATGACGACGGGCTGGAAAGTCTCCACCTACAGAATAGCTGCGGCTACTTCCAGATAATGCCGCTGGAGATTTTTCACAAAGTCTTGTGCTATCTCTCAGGTGTGTAGTTTGTGCAACTTCTGTTGTCACAAGTAATCGGGAATGTTTTTAACCGGCGTAGCAATAAGTCATTCGCTCAGGTAGTAGGACTCTGTGAGTCAAATGGTGTGTGTTGAAGGCCGAGTTTAAGATCATAGCTGGCACACCGCATTGTGGGTTAAACACAGTGTTGTTCGAGGTGCTATGTTTTGGATGAGATGTTAAACCGAATGAGCAATGAATCAAGACACTGGGGAAGCNCCCCCCCAACCCCACTCCCTCTTTTCCAATAGCCTTGTTGTTTTGATAAAAGCGACTGACATTTTTGTCAACGTGTTGTTGTTTTTTTGTTTTTCAGTGAGCGATATCAGCGTTCTGAGCATGACGTCAAAAGTGGTCAGCACTCTCGTGGTGGGTTACATTGCCACTAACTCCGGGATCACACGACTTTTACTGCAGGGGTTTCACTCGACAGACATTTCGAAGAAATCGCTCGTCATCAAACACTACAGATCATTAGGTAACACCATGTTTTAGAGGGGCTTTTTTCCCCCTTCCACATTCCCTCCCCCTCCTTCCCCAATCTGCATGTCAAGTAGTTTTCTGCTCTTCCAGTTTCCGTGATGCTTTCCTCTTTTTCAAATCCCGCCTGAAAACCTTCCTCTTCAACTGTGTGGAGGGTGGTATATAAATGCAAGTTGTTGGTCAATACTTTTGCACTTAATCTGTGTGCGACTGGTTCAACAGCTTAACAACGTTTGGTTTCTTCCCCTTCAGGCTTGCTATTTAAGAGATGTACCCTCCTGTTGCCCACTAAGCAGAGACTAAAGTTTGCACATAACCAGTTGTTCAAGGTAAGACAGCACAACTGCAAAGATTTGCCCTCAAAATGCAGTCAGTTCACTTTACAGTGTATTCTGTGAAGAGTTTTGAGACTCACGAAGAAATGATAATGCGCTCTATCAAATGCAAGGATTATTATTTGTTAAGATACATTTTATTCTAATGTGTGATTTAAAAAGTGTATAAATTGAATTACAAACTAAAATCCTGGTATAAGCATTCTGAATTATCTGAGGAAATTCAGCATGTTATACCTCTAGTAGTAGTTGAGCAGAACAAATGCTAAGTAGGATAGCTCCGTTATTCTCGGGCTAATGAGCCTGGGTTTATATTTAAACATTCTGGATCGCTTGTTTGGTTGAGTGGGGGTATTGGCGTAGAAGGACATGTTTTCAAACCATAGCTTGAGTTATAGGATACTAAAGTCTCAGGTATTTTGTGTGTATTAATATTGTTTCTTAAATGCATTTTTTTTTGTTGCTATCAGAATCCATGCTTCAGGATAGGCGGCTGTACCACGCTTGTAGAATGTTCTGGATTTGCCTGTTTTGGAACATTATTACAGGTAAGGTTCATATTGGGATCAATAAGGCTGGTGGCGGGTTCTGGCCAACTGCTTGTCCCTTGTGCCCTCAGTTCCACCATGGTGGCCAGCCCCGAATTTCTTGAACTCTCTTCCTCTATCCCTCCGCCTTGCCCCATCCTTCCCCATCTTGCGCTTGAAGACCTTCCTCCTCGACCGTGCTTACGGTCACCTCCCCCTGGCGTGGAGTTGTGCTCCGCCACCGTCTTCAGTTGCTACCCAGCGTGAGAGGCGCGATATACATGCGAGTTGTTGTCGCAGTACACTCGGTGGCTGCGCTTGTGATACAGCAGATTACACTCGCTTCGTTTGGGGGTTCACAATTCCAATAGGGCGGGAAGGAAGGAGGGAAAATATGCAAACCCAATTTTTTTTTATTTATTTTTTTTGACAGACCCTGATCGCAGGCTGGGACGAGCTCGAATGCAATCGCGTGTTTAACTTTCTGAACGAAACCGCGAATCTACCACGGAAAATGCAAAGCGTCGTATGCAGCAGGCCAGGTAAATTGATAGAAGCACAACACAAAGCCATAGTGTGCCCGACCAGCTAAGTGAACGGAAACACAAGGTGAAACGTGGTGCACAGCACAGCACGTCAGGTAAATTGATATAAACTTAGAAGTGAAATTAAGTGTCTTAGTTTCGCAGGTCCGCTGCCGTCTGGAGTGAGGTAAGTCGGTTGTATGCCATTCCAAGCCACCACCGGTTGATGTTTCAGCAGTCACTGTGCGTGTGCGCGGAGAGACAGCTGACTCCGTCAGTGCTTCAAAACTCCCTTCACGCCCAGGGTGAGAAACCGATGACGTGCCACTCCTGCCAACATCTCTTCCACGGAATGCCCTATGGGGATAACAACAGCAAATACTCTTTGAAAACAAAATTTAACCTTCAGAAATGGAAAGGATAAAGACCCTGCACTGCATTCTTAATTGCTTGAAGCTTTTTTTTTAGGGAGGAGGTTCTGATGAAGAAAACATTCATTTCCTGAGCGTCTTGGGTCGAGACGCTTCTCTCTCTCTTTAAGTGGGGTCTCCAAACTAAATAGGTTTTGCTGTGTGGTTGTACACAGCTTCTAAACACTAAGCATTTTGCTTACGTTCCTGGGGAAGCTCATGAGCATACGAATACAGGATTTATATTTTTTAAATGGATCGCCATTTGGAGATGCACTGATTATATCCAACCACCAGAGGTTGCTGGTGGAGTGTCCGAAGTTTATTTGGTTTATTTAGCAAGCAATAAGAACTTCAGAGTCCTGTCGTGTGTGACCATGATAACGCGGTGCTCGTTCAGACAGAAAAGAGGTTGCGCTTGCCTTGATAATGTTGGGTGACATGGCAGCAACTTACCAGTCGCTTCCTGGGGTTAATAACCCCTTCAAAACAATAGATAAACATAATAATAATAATAATAATAATCCTTGCAGTTGGTATGGCACTTTTCACGTCTTCCAGACGTCTCAAAGCGCTTCACAGAATATGCTGTAATGTGAATCGACTATACTTGTGAGCAAAATACGTCTGTATAAAATGATAATAATTTGGTCGTTCAAAACACGACCGTTTGTCGGTCAGTGCTGTGCGCAATTGGCCGCCTCGTTTCGCCCAATCCTCAGTTTGGTTTGATACTCTTAAGCACCGCTTGCGTCGGACACCCGGTGGCCCCCTCCCCCAAAAAGGGAATACTGTGCGATCTTAAGTGGTAATTAAGAGAAAATTGTACTGTATAAAATAAGTTACAGTGTGGACTTAACGGACAAGCAAATGGTGAAATGGAGTACTGTTTGAGAGTTTAGGAAGCGAAGTATCATTCTGTTGCAGTGGCGTTTGCAGGGAGAGATAAAACAAGCTTGAGAGTTCCGATGTTCGTATTTCACAGGTGAAAAGAACATACCCACGCCTTTTTTTTTCCTTTGCAAGTGAAACGGGCTCTGTCCTCTAGGCTCCCAGTTATCATAGGCAGCTTCGCATTTCTCTGAACATTCGCAAGCCAGCGTGGTACTTGCACGCACGCGTTCCCGCAGTCTCGTTAATTTTCTTCGTGTCCATTCGTGTTTCATCACTTTGCTGCAGGAGTGTTTCCTTTTTTTTCACTTTGCTTCTCCCCAATTCTTCCCCCCCCCCCCCCCCCCGCCCTCCCGGCCCCCCCTCCCCCCCCCAAGCACGCAGACCGCCATTCTTATGTTATAATGTTATACATTATAAAATTTTCTCCCTATCTTTAGGTTTTCCCTGCGCCACACTCCTGGCCCAGAGGGTGTCAAGGTGGCTAGGCGACCTACTCCCAGGCTTCTGACAATGCTGCTCTTGAGCCGGATGTTAAGAGGTGAGGAGAGAGCAACTTGAGGGGGTTTGGGGGTAAGAAGCCCCTGCAAACTATTCCTCTCTTCCCTGCGGGGTCAGGAAGAGTTTGGTGTTATCTCTGCTAGTGGCGTGGCTTAGGTCAGCAGTTTATTAGGGAAACGCGCTCTTAATTTCCTCTCACCTCTAAAAGAGACCATGGGATTTTATATTATAGCCTCTCCCATTCATACCCCATGGACACGAGAATACTAATCACTGCAACCCTGTAGCACTATGGATATTTTTAAATCTAGACTGAACAGTAGGGGGCATTGGGTTGCTAAGTGAAGGTGATATAATGTTTAGAATGGTTAAATAGCTTCAAATGCTAAGAGAATTTGGTCCAGGATTGTGCAACAGAACCATTCTTTTGTGATGTTTATGAAGGTGTTTAAGCTGCTTTGACTTGCCATTTTCACTCGTTTGCATTTTTCCTTTTGCAAAAAATAATGTCATGTATAGATTACTTGTTTCGTCCACAATATGTACAGTCAATTTACTTTACAGAAGAATATTTTGTGAAAGCACTTTGAGACATCTCGACGACGTGATAAGGCGCTATATCAAATGCAAGGATTATTATTATTACAGCAAGGCTCCCGGCTAATGCTTGCTTCGTCTCGGTCTTTGTGTGCAACTTATGAAATCCTGCAGGTCCCCAAATTCAATGCAGTCTAACAAATAAGGCATTAGAAACCTCCTGATTGTGGTGTGACTTGTGTGAGGTTTATTGTACAGTGTATAGATTCTAGGGGTCTAGATTTCCCTCATAAAACATACACGATAGCGATGATCTGCAATTTTCTTTATGTGTTTGAAACAGGTGCGACCAAGAAACTGGAGTTGCAGGTCCGGCTATTCTACCGACGAGTTCTCTTAGATCACTGGGAGCATCAGCATGATACGGCTTTCTGGCTAACCCGCATCCTAAAGCCATGGCCAATAGTCAACCAAGCAAGACTGCTGTATTTACTCTATGGGCCTATGTTCATTACTGATGGTGGTAATAATACTGATAATAATCCTTGCACTCGATATGGCGCCTTATCACACCTTTGAGACGTATTGAAGCTCTTCACAGAATATACTGTAAAGCGGATATACCAATTTTTTTTTTTTTTGAAGGCGTTATTACCCCCCGGAAAAGCAATTCATCTGCCAATCGACTAACGACAAGGTTCCTACTTACTGCTAGGTAAACAGAGGCGGGTGGTTGCTCACTCGCTCACCGTTTTGCCCTGCCGGGAATCAAACCCAGGTTCTCTTGCTTGCAAGGCGAGTCCTCTAACAACTGAGCTTCAGGACTCCTTTGATCCACGTTTCCCTTGTGTATGAGAATTAGGTGAAAATCAACACACTTGACTGGTTCCGGCCTGCCTCTTGCTTGTCCCTCGTCCCTTCCTTTCTACCATTGTTAGCTGCGTTTTCAGCCAATACACTTCAAAACTATCCCTCCGCCTTGCCCCCTCTTTCCCCATCTTCAGGTCGTGTCTTTGACCTTACCTATTTGTCCATGAATTGTGTTCGATTGAGACTTGGAGCAGATCCAGTTGTTTTACATCATCCGTTTTTGCACACGTTAGCGTTGGATGGAAGGAACCGATTCAATTTTAACGTTTAAACTTACATTCTCAGGTCAGATTCAGTGGCATCAGATGACTCAAATACCCGCCAATGAGGAAAGCGTGAAGGATTTGGCGGTGGCAGTCAGACTGCTGCATGAACACAAAAAGGAATGGACAGCTGATGACATCTTCACCCTGTTGGAGGAATTAGCAGGTATTTGAGATTTCGGGACCTACAACTTTGAGCTGCACCCGATTTAGAATCATAGTATCTTACAGCACAGAAGGAGGTCATTCGGCCCATCGTGCCTATGCTGACTGTTTGAAAGCACTACCAACTAGTCCCATTTCCCCCTCTCGCCCCATAGCCCTGTACATGTTTTCCTCTTTAAGTACCATTGAAAGTATCTATTCCCTCTTTTGAAAGTTATCATTGAATCACCCTTCCAGGCAGTGCGTTCCAGGCCGTAACAACTCTGGGAGTAAAAAAAAGAAGTCTTCCCTCTGGTCCTTTTGCCAATTATCTTAATTCTGGTTACCACCCGCCAGAGGTATTAACAGATTCAAGCCCCCACGTCGCGTCTTGGAATCACATAGTCTTCGCTGATGCTCGAATGTGGTGCTGGGGATGGGTTGCAGTGTCAGAGGTTGAGTTAAACAGATTGGTTGGCTGTGATAGATTTTGTAGATTTTGTGTTAATTCTAGGTTTCCCTCAAGAGTGGCTCCTGGAGAATTGTGCCCGGCTTCTGATATGTTGTGGCAACAACATGTGTTTTACTTTTCTGGCCAATAAAGCTGTGAATGGGAGGCTAAATGAGCTGGCCACACTCATCGTTTTCCTGTCTTTGGTGAGTAGTAAGACAAAGAGCTGCATTTTGAGGTTCAGCCATCTCAGTCATGGGTGTACGTACCAAAGCTGATTGTTTAAATGTTCAAGCCTGGCTTGTCATGGAAATGTTGGCGGATTGCTTTTCCGGGAGTAATAATTCCTCCAAAAAAATAAATAATCTGGTCGCTCACTCCATGACTGTTTGTGGGACACTGCTGTGTGCAATTGGCTGCCACGTTTCGCCCAGCAAAACAGACACTTTACAGGATATTCTCTGAAGCGCTTTGTGACGTCTTGACGATGTGATATATCAAGTGCTGTTATTATTATGATTATTATCAACTCAATAACTTCGACATTGTGGTATTTTATATGGGTCAACGCTTTCACTTTGATTATTTTGGTGCAGGTATGTGAAAAGGATGGTTACTGCATGGACTGGGCTGTAAAAATGGTGCAGAGAATCTGTAAGGTGATAGCTAACAGTGAAAGCAGGTGGAACTTTCTACAGGCAATCGAGAAGGTCTATGCTCGGGTGACCATAGACATGATCGAGTCCATATTGTTTAGTGAGTAATGTTTGTGCGCTTAATGTTCGTGCGCTTCTGTGTGTTTTTAAGTCATGTTGGAAGAGGCTGACTGTGTCAAGATAAGTGCGTGCATGTGAGTGTGTGTGCAGTCAAGTAAGTGCGTTACACCTTTATTTTTAAGGAGGCCGTTGAAGCAGGTACCAAATATTATCTGTCTGTTGCGATAACCAAATCATATCTTGGTTTGAGACCAGAAAAGGAGCGGTATTTTTGGAGAGTTGCTATTTTGCGAGGGGGTTGGTTTGGGTGGGGAAAGTAAATAGATTCTGCAGGCGAAACAGGTTCCCAAAATCAGACAGTTCCCCTCCTTCATTCCCCCCCCCCCCACCTCCCGCCAGTTCTGCTGCAAAGGGGTATCCGGGGGAATTTAAAATGTAAGTAGACTGCTGGAAACCATACAATGGTAAGAATCCTGCCCCGAACGTATGTGTTTTTCGAAGTCTTGTTTCATTCTCGAACCCTTGTCATCTTACGCCCTCGAACGAGTGCAGAGTAGAAAAAGCCAGTTGCTGCCATGACAGTAATGTGTTGTGACAGCTCCCTCTCCCTCCAACGCAGCCTCCCAGCCTTCCCTTAACGTAAAACAAACGACAGAAAAATATGATAGCAATTATGACAATCGGCTTAATAAACTGTGTTCGAGGAGAAGTGGCACGATTCTTCAAGTGATTGCACACACGTAGAACATCTTTTACACTAGAATTCACCCAATGATTTATTGCTGGAACAGAGAAGATCAAAATGAACAAAGGCATCTTGAAGTTGATTGTTATTATTTGTTCTGTTTACTCCATACCCCCATCATACCAGGTCTGGTCAGGTTGAACCGGCTCCCTTTCCCCGAGCAAATCTTCGCACCCTGATACCTCCCTACCTCTCTGACCTGCTTACTCCCCAACCTCACTGCTCGCTGGCTCCGGCCTCCTGCATGTCCCTCGTGCCCTCCGTTCCACCATCGGTGGCCGCGCTTTCAGCCACTACGCCCTAAACTCTGGCGCACTCTTCCTCTCTCTCTCCGCCTTGCCACTTCCTTCCCCATCTTCAAGTCGCGCCTGAAGACCTTTCACTTCGACCGTCTGTGCGGTCACCCCCCCCCCCCCCCCCCGGATCGGCAGTGTGCTCAGCCACTCTCAAGCGTTCTGGGACGTTACCCTTTATGAGGGGCGCAATTTGTTGCTTATAATTGTATTAACAAGGGTTACTGATCGTGAAACAGCCAAGTTGCTGCTGTGCTGTTTGTGTGTTTCAGGTGGCCTCGAAGGGGATGAAGGCATCACCTACAACATGTACAACATGGTGAATGCCCAAGCTGAGTTTCACAAAGAGATCATGCTTCGTGCCTTCAACAACGTACTCACATGAAAGGCATTTTGGGAACAGCAATCACTGCCTTAATACACATGTACACACTCGCATATATTATACAGCACCTACGTTGTGGTCGAATTGAACCAGCTTCTGTTTTGTTTGCTTTTCACAAGAGATCGAATAACCAAAGATTATTGGGTTTATGGTCTTTTAGACGCAGAGAGAGAAAAACAATCCCCACACACTGACTGTTACAGAAACCGTGCTCGGGTTGACTACAGAAACAAAGTTTGTAGACTGAACAGACCACCAGCTGCTATACCCCCAGTAAACCCACACACAAGGTAGATACCAATTCACGGTCTCTAGAGGCACCGATTTATGCATTTATTCCTTTTGAAAGGAGCCTAGTTTTGATTAACTAATTTCCCTGTCCTATTTTTTATTAATTCTCACCATCTCTCCTTTGATACCACCCACACACGCCATTGCCTAGCTAAGAGTGGGAGAGAGAGAGAGGTGGTGGCGGTGTTTGCAACCTGCTTCTAGGCTCCCACCAATACATTGGCTCAAGATGTCCGATAGGAGCAAGTCCAGCTTGACTTTTCCCTCCCATCGTCCCTTGACTTCTGCTCACCATTTTTCCCATGAATTAATACGGCTGAAATCAGGACCTTGTTGGATGAGAAATCAAAGCCACGCAGTCTGTAGTAGAGCTTCAAAGCATCGCTTCACCACAACACCAAATACATTTATTAGTCCTGTCATTTTCCCAGTCAAATCAAATTTAATAATTAATGCTTTCACTTAACTGAGCCCCAGTTAACTCGTCTCTTGTTTGGGAGAAATTGCAACTGTGCTTTTGTCAGCAGTCTTTATTGTTTTTGCTGCTGTTGGTTTCCGTACATCGCGGGAAACTAGAAAACGTCAGAGGACTTATCCTGAAATTGTACTCTTCCAACAATATCGTTCAGCCACACCGCAGTTGGGTTCTCATTGCGTTAATTGCCAACTGGGATAAGAAAAATCTAAAATGTTTCTAGATTTTCATGTACTTGCAGTCGACCTGTAAATAAGTGACTTGACTTGCTGATCACAGCCGTCTCGTCTCGGGTAATTAATTAATAGCTTCTCTTAGGTGAGTGCGAAACTTGGTCTCTCATACACTGTACAAATGTTTTCGCGTTGAAACACCCAAGTAACACTGAATTCCCAGCGATATTCTCGGTTCCACGTACTGAGTCTGACATACCTCTTCTCTTCGCCCTCTCCCCACACCCCCCCCACCCCCCACCCTCCCACCCATCTCTCGCTATTCCATTCTTACGATCTAGAGTTGCAAAGAATTCCGATTCATTTGTGTTCCTGTTTACTTATTTCTGTTGGTTTTAAAGAGAAAGAATATTTTTTGTCGCACACTGAACGCCGGTGGCACGGGAAGGGATCGACAGGCAGCTGGGTGTCCGACACGGCAAGGGAAGTGAACGCACACAGTTTTGGGTGCAGTATTTCCTTCCGGCTGATGTACGTACGTACGCAAAATATTCCCACGAACAAATTCAATGATAAAGTTGACCATTATTCTTAGCAGCAGTTTAATTTTAGAGAGCTGTAGTAGATGAGTTTCCTCTGCAAAGAGATACACACACGAGGACTAATTGCACAAACGTATTATCCATAAAAATCCGCCTTGAAACCGAATATTTCAACGCCGCTGCATTATTTATTTGTTGGTGTCTTTCCACAAAGCAATGATCGCGCGCGATAATTCTGATAATTTATATTATTTAAAAGTGTTGGAAGGTGACGTGCCGAAATAAATTCAATAATTTAATTGTGAATAGATTTGAGATTGTGTTTCCGTGTTTGTTGCTGTGAGGGACATTAAAGCTTAAAGCCTTTGAGAGGACTTCAGTGTTCTGTCTCGGCTGTGCGGTTGCTGAAACGAAGCGCTTGCAATCTTCGGCTTCGTCTTCTTGCCTCAGAGCAGCCGAACCCTCTGCCTACGACTAACTCCCGATAAGCCATCGTACTACTGTTCAACTAACAGTGCGTTGGCAGTGTCGTATATGCAGTCAATTCACTTTACGGTGTGTTCTGTGAAGCGCTTTGGGACGTCCTCTCCCGACGTGAAAAGCGCTATATCAAATGCAAAGATTATTATTATTATGTCGGTGTCCCATGACAGTCTGAGCCCAACAAAACCTTTTTTCGCCCACGCCAGCACATAACAACCCTCCGGCGTGTAACCCTCGCCCCGGACGTATAATAATACTAATGTATTCCGATGCAGCGCCTTATCACGTCGTCTCAAAGCGCTCTACCGAATATATTCGGGCAGCGAGGTGTGCTTTGTTGACGTCCTCTCCTTGCTAACGATGTATTTCCAGTGGCTCGTTCTTCCTGATCGCTAGGCAAACATTGTGCGTGCCCCTTCCAAGACGGGACACTGGGCGAGGGCGGGTGACAAGGGGAGTTGAGGCACGGATCGCCCATGATGTTGTCGGATGAGCGGAACGGGCTCCGTGGGGCTGAATGGCCTCCTCCTGTTCCCGTTCCGTCGCAGTGCTGCGCGCCGACGCCTTACAGTTGCAGTTCCCTATCGACGCTTTTTTAGGTGAGAATGATCGAGCCGTCTGGCGCGAAGGGGGCGATATAAGTTGTTGATGTGAGTCGGTGTCTTCAGAACACACACACAGAGAGAGAGAGAGAGAGAGAGAGAGACGGGTGAATTGGATGGAAAATGTACAATCTGACGGCAGGACTCGCCATTCGTGTCGGCGCCGACGGGAGTCCTGCAATTCCGTCAGGCGAAGAGGTCGCGTCGGCCGCTTTTATCGATCGCTGGAGCCGACGAGAAAATAACGAGGGGAGTTAAAGAAAAAAAGGGGACTCGCGAGCATTTCGTTTTGTTTCCCGCGGCCCTCGATGCGGAGGAAGGGACTTGGGGTGCGCGTTAGCGCCGCCCGCCCGAGAATCGAAACGGTCACGCATCTGCAAAGCCCTCCTTCGGTCAGCCTCGTCCTTCCATCATTCATTGCCCTCTCGATTGGGTAGGACAGCCCCAATGTGCAGCCGTTATTCCTTCATCAATTCCCCCCCTCCACCCACCCACCCACCCCCTCGCACGCACACGCACACACGCACACGCACACACAGGCACACGCACGCGCGCGCACAAAAGCAGATTAAAAGCAGCCTTGACATGATTCCCTTAAGCAGCCAAAGATGGCATCTGACAGATTTTATTTGCAATTTGTATAACCATTTACGCAGCAGTTTCGATCGTCTTTAACGTATAGAGAGAGAGAGAGAGAGAGAGAGGGTAATAGAGGGTTAGCAGTGAGATGCGTGTCAGTAATTCTGACGCTACTGTTGTCGTACTCTGTTCGCAGGGACGGCTTAAGTGAACTGCACTGCGAGTGAACAGCGCGCAATACCCCACCGATTAAACCACAGCAATCAGGAGCTTAACGCAATGATCATTACTGCCTTAAAGTCACTCCCAGCTATTTATTATTCTTTAGAGTGTACGGTGCACTGGTTTTGAAAATAGATTTTGCCTTTTGTTTTGTTTTTTCTGAACTGCTACGCATCAGGGATTAGAGTACACTAGAGGCGATGCTGGTTCGTTTGAAAGAAGTGTTGTGGAATCATAAGGTACCTGTCACCGCTATGCAATAATGTACTATAAATATGAGTTTGTATGTAGAAAGCAGCAAATTGCCACGACATAAACACGCCTTAGCAGCACTGGAATCCACGTACATCGCTCAATCAGCACATAAACTGGAAAGCGTACAAAAAAAAATAGTACGCTTAGTACTAATAGTACCGAGCGATACCGAGAAATTAGATGGAAGCAAAGGATCCAACGTTTATTGGGGTTGAACCGTTGAGATGTCTCAAAGCTCTTCGCAGAATATAGCGTCAAGTAAATTGACTGCACTCCGCCGGCAAAACACAGCGGCCAACTGCTCACGGCGGCGTCCCACAAAGAGTCGCGGATCGAGTGGCCGCATTATGATTATTATTTTTTTTTGGAAGGGATGGTTACCCCCGGAAAAGCGATCTGCCGATCCACCAGCAACGGGGTTCCTGCTTAGCTAAGCAGAGGTGCGGAGTGAGAAAACTTGCCTTGGATTTCGCGCTGCGCGAGAATCGAACCCGGGGTCCTCCTCTCGCTTTGCGAGGCGAGTGCGCAAAACCACTGAGAGCTACAGGATTCCTTTCCGTCTTCCCTCTACCTCAGTAGACGTTCCTCTACAATAGAAGCATCGGCTTTTCTCCACAATCCACGTTTGGTAGCGGGTCGAGTGGACTTTGTTGGCGAAGGAAAAGGAAGTGGTGTCAATGAACTTTTTATTTTTTGCAGTCTTAACCGTTTTACTTTCTGCTCCGACGCTCTGCATCCTTCCTTATTTTAGACCAAAGCAGATCGGAGGTGACAGGCGTCCCGTTCCAACCAAATTAGAGGCCTGATCGGTTGTGAAATATTGTCGCTTTTTGTCGGTATAGCTGTTCAAAAGAGTTTATGGATGTGAATTTCCGTTACATTGCGTACAGGAGTGGTATGTAAGTGAGTAATGCGCTTTAAAGAAAGACGACACTTAACTGATAACCAGTGACCTCTTGTACAAAAGGAAAGATTTGCCCTGATAGAAAGCTTAGAACGAAACTAAGTTTTCCAGGTTTGGCACTGAGGAAACCTGAGTGCTTCCATTGACGCACTGTTTTTTTTTGCTTAAAGGATGAGATTTGCCATCTGTGTCCGCTTTTACAAATCAAAGAGGTTGAATAAGCATTGCCCTGCTGCTCGCGAGCTGTACCTTTTCATTCAGGGCGCGTCCTCCTTCCCGAAATGCTGCTGTCGTGTTATTTTTCGACCGCCGCTAAGCGTTACTTTCAGAATTATTTGTGGAGTCCTCAGTGGTTAGAGCACTCGCTTTGCGAGTGAGAGACCTGAGTTCAATTCCAGGCAGAGGGCGAAACCTCGGGCAAGTTTCCTTACTCCACACAGAGCCTAATAATAAACCCTCCAAAACCAAAAACAATGATAAATTGATCATTTTCAATCGACGACTGTCTGTGGGACATTGCTGTGCGCAATTGGCCGCCGCGTTCGCCCACAAATATACAGTCAATTCACTTTACAGTGTGTTCTGTGAAGCGCTTTGGGACGTCCTCCCGACGTGAAAAGCGCTATGTCAAATGCAAGGATTATTCTTATTATTATTATTACCTCGGAAACAATTAAAGTTAAATCTTTTCGGATTAAAGTGCGGCGCATTAGAGTTTCGGATCGTGCCCGCGGTGCCAGGTCTCGTTGATGTCGTTGCTCTTCTTCTGCGGCGTTCTGGGGCATCCTTTCCCGAGCCCTGTCGGTCTACGGTTTGACTCGTCCCGGCCGACCAGCCAGTGTGGGCCTGAGACAGAATGCGTTAGGGTCAGACTTTGTCTCTCGGACAGCGAGTCTCCCTGTTAATCCTGAAAACCCTAATGGGTCCCGGTGCGCCCTTTGCTGTGGAAACGGCCCGACGCAGTGACCATTGTGGGTCCGGCTTCACGCAAACAAAAGCGTAAGCGCGATGAGGATGAGGGCGAGGATGGGTCGCAAACGTGACCGGCCCAAATTGATCATGTATGGTCACTGTGGAATTCTGCTTCAGTCTCTGTGAGCTGCCCCCCCCCAGCGACCCTCGCTTTTTACTCAGCCGCTCGTTAGGCACGAACGATGTGCACGTTATCTTGCATTAGCGCACGACTGTCGTTTATCCGTCGCTCCGTCCTCTTTTCCTGCGTTACCTGGTGAGCTGTGGTCAATCGAGCTCTCCGCTCACGCGCCTCGCCAGCGAGAGGACCCGGGTTCGATTCCCGGGACAGGGCGAAACGTTGGGCAAGTTTCCTTACTCCACACACGCACACACGGCTCTGTATACCCAGCAGTAAATAGAAACCCGGTTGTTAGCCGATTGTCCGATCGCTTTGCCGAGGGTAATAATCCCTTCAAAACAAATAATAATTTGGTCACTCAACCCACGACTGTGTGTGGGGACGCTGCCGGGCGCCATTGGCCGTCGGGTTTCGCCCACAAAATATATTGTGGGCGAAATTTGGTTATGTCTGTGGTGAATCCGCGCACAGCACAGTAGTTTTTACAAATTATTGTCACGATGCCTCCAGAAATAATGAACTAATTTCGTGCCATTTCTTCAAACTCTGCTCCACACGCCACGGGCCAGGGTTCTGCTAAAGCGGTGGTAGCTTTTTTTTTTTGGAAGGACCA